TTCCCAGCCAATGGGGCCCCGGCACTGAAGGGAGAAGCAGCTAGGTGTTCTGAGACAGGCTGGTGAGCCAGGCGAGTGGAATAAGGAAACACATAGTTAAAGGGCCAAGCGGTTTACAGCCATCTAGTAAATCACAAAAGCCTATCTTTCCTAACCAAGGACACTTAAGAGTAAATGGTTTACACATCTCCTCCCAACCAGAGGATAAATAGCTTAAATTACTCAGGGAGATAGATAGCAGATATCCAATTAGTGCCATTTGTGCCAGCCACACCCAAGGACAATGAAGTTAAGGGAATAAATCTCATTTTGCCCCATCAGCATGAAGCTGATGAATATTCTATTAAGATCAGCCCCTAAGATCTCCTCTATTATATATGTACTAGTGGCCTGGTGCACGAATCCATGCACATTGAAAGACAATTAATTAGAAGGTGGCCTGTCTGTCTCGCCCAGACCCGCTCCACAGCCAACCTCTGCCCACACCTAGGGTGGCACCATCGCTCGAAGGGCTTCTGCGGAGTAAGCAGGATACCTCTGGCAGGTGGGGTGCCTCGGCCTGGCCTGTGAGGATTGGGCCGAAACTGTCCCTCTGACATCCCACAAGGGGTCCCGGAGTATGAGAGGGCACTCTGCAAAGTTGCTGTCATACAGGGTGTGGAATGCAAACGCAAGTGTGCAGTAAACCAGATTCGGGGCTGACGGTGTCCCAGCAACAATGTAACCCTGGGCCAAAGGTGGAATCGTGCAGCCCCTTGAGGAATCAGGCTTCCTCCTCTCTGGTTTTGGGGTGTATCACCTGAGAACCACTGCTGCCAAGTCACTGCCAAGAGCTCAGCAGCTCCTGCATTGAGCGTCTGCCCTCTGGTGGTCAGAGTGCATCATAGCAACTGGTGAGATGGTAGGACACTTAGCATATTAGCCTTTTATATATATGGACTAGAGCAGGGGTCAGCAAACTCATTAGTCAACAAAGCCAAATATCAACAGTACAATGATTGAAATTTCTTTTGAGAGCCAAATTTTTTAAACTTAAACTGTATAGGTAGGTACATTGTTATTAACACATTGCGTACCGCATAGAATTCTCTAAGACATACGCCAGGGACTGCATGTTTTCGGGCAAACTGCACGTTATTTAAATCATCATAATGCAGTTTAGATGTTGTTTTTCAATAATTATAACATTTTTATTTACAAAAACAATTAAACAATTAAAGCTCCTAGTACTTTTTTAACGTATGGTACTGCTAAAACATTTTCCTCTATGAAGAGGGACCAAACAAAATTTACATAAGTATCTAGATTCGCTCCTTTTTCCATGGGCGTGAAAAACGAGAACACTCGTGAGCGGTCTGTAACAGATGACGCGCAAAACACGAGAAAATTCCTGAGCAGTACGAAAGGTGTTAACTTAATTAGGGTACTCCTAAGCTGGCCTTTGCTAAGAACGTCCTCAATCTGATTGACATATGTTCACTAAGGTCGACCCCTTCCAACTCTCCCATCCACACTCATCTTGTATACTTGTTTCGCAGTGGTAGGCAAACTGCGGCTCACGAGCCACATGTGGCTCTTTGGCCCCTTGAATGTGGCTCTTCCACAAAATACTGACTTTTGCACATGGGCCACGAAGTTTCAATCGCACTGTACATGCGTGCCCGCATGTGGTATTTTGTGGAAGAGCCACACTCAAGGGGCCACAGAGCTGCATGTGGCTCGTGAGCCGCAGTTTGCCGACCACTGGACTAGAGGCTTGGTGCACAGATTCTTGCACCAGTGGGGTCCCTCAGCCTGGCCTGTGCTCTCTCACAATCTGGGACCCCTTGGGGATTCAGACTGCTGGTTTCAGCCCGATCCCCATGGCCAGGCCAAGGAACCCTAGTATACACATAAAATCTTTTTTTTTTTTAATTAAATCTTTATTGTTCAGATTATTACATTTGTTCCTCTTTTTTTTCCCCCCATAACTCCCCTCCTCCCAGTTCCCGCCCCACCCTCCGCCCTCACTCCCCACCCACTGTCCTCATCCATAGGTGCACGATTTTTGTCCAGTCTCTTCCCGCATCTCCCACACCCCTTTCCCCCCCAGGAATAGTCAGTCCATTCCCTTTCTATGTCCCTGATTCTATTATAATCAACAGTTCATTCTGTTCATCAGATTATTTATTCACTTGATTCTTAGATTCACTTGTTGATAGATGCATATTTGTTGTTCATAATTTGTATCTTTACCTTTTTCTTCCTCTTCCCCTTCTTAAAGGATACCTTTCAGCATTTCATATAATCCTGGTTTGGTGGTGATGAACTCCTTTAGCTTTTCCTTATCTGTGAAGCTCTTTATCTGACCTTCAATTCTGAATGATAGCTTTGCTGGATAAAGTAATCTTGGTTGTAGGTTCTTGGTATTCATCACTTTGAATATTTCTTGCCACTCCCTTCTGGCCTGCGAAGTTTCTGTTGAGAAATCAGCTGACAGTCGTATGGGTATTCCCTTGTAGGTAACTGAGTTTCTTTCTCTTGCTGTTTTTAAGATTCTCTCTTTATCTTTTGCTCTTGGCATTTTAATTATGATGTGTCTTAGTGTGGTCCTCTTTGGATTCCTTTTGTTTGGGGTTCTCCGCGCTTCTTGGACCTGTAAGTCCATTTCTTTCACCAGGTGGGGGAAGTTTTCTGTCATTATTTCTTCAAATAGGTTTTCAATATCTTGCTCTCTCTCATCTTCTGGCACCCCTATAATTCTGATGTTGGTACGCTTGAAGCTGTCCCAGAGGCTCCTTACACTATCCTCGCATTTTTGGATTCTTTTTTCATTTTGCTTTTCCGGTTGGGTGTTTTTTGCTTCCTCCCATTTCAAATCATTGACTTGATTCTTGCGCTCCTCTGGTCTGCTGTCGGGAGTCTGTATAATATTCGTTATTTCAGTCCGTGTATGCTTAATTTCTAGTTGGTTCCCCAATATAAGATCGAGGGTCTTATTAGTTTTCTTGTAGATCTCATTAAGTTTATCGGCGGCTTCTAAACAGTTCTTGAGAGACCTTAAAAGTGTGGTTCTGAACTCTATATCTTCCATTGACAATTTTGTCCTGTTTCTTTGTCTCCGCATTTTGTTATGCTTCCTTGGTGCACCCCCTAGTGGTCTTTGTTCGCAGTCTTATAGTTAAATCTTGATTGTTGTAGCTAATTCCAGGGAGGGTTTGACCTCCAGGCCAAGTGGCTATGAGAATCAGCTGTGTCAGCAGTGAGAGAACTTCTGTCCTCTAGGGAGGTGCTAATCTGGCGTTTGCCTGAGGCTATCCGGCAAATGCCTGTGTGCAGGGCTTGGGCGGGGCGGGTCGAACAGGATCAACAGGGTGGGCCAAAGAGAGCAGTTATGGCGGCTCTCAGTCCTGTCCCCAGGGGCTCTGCCTCTCTGAGTCCCAGCACCCGCTGCAAAGCTCGGAGAGAAAGCTGCACTCGCTCTGACCGAAGCCAGACAGTCCCGCTTCTCCCGTTTGAGTCTGGGTCCCCAAAGACTCGCCCGGATCTGGAGCTCAGAGTCTGCGACTCCCTCCCGATTGAAAACGCCAACCGCGCCCTCCGCCGCCAGCCTGCTCCGCGCACTCCGCACCTCAGAATTTGACTTCAGCACTGCGCCTCCTCTGAGTGTCCGTATGCGTTTCTCTTTCCTCCTAGTTGTAGGACTTCCACTCAGCCAGCGTTCCTGTGGTTCTGGGTGATGTCCCTTCCGTTTTTTGGTTTCACTTTTGAAGTAGTTGTTCAAAGCAGCAAACTCCGGCGTTAACCTATGCCGCCATCTTGGTTCTCTGTCTACACATAAAATCTTTGGTTAATCTCTTCCCACCCTCTCCCCTCCCCTCTTCCCTCTGAGATTCATCAGTCTGTTCCATGTTTCCATGCCTGTGGCTTCTGCTCCAGCATTGAGCATCTGCCCCCTGGTGGTCAGCGTGCATCATAGCTACCAGATGGTCAGCCGGTCGGCCAGTTGCTTAGGCTTTTATATATATACTCTAGGGGCCCAGTGCACAAATTCGTGTACCTTGAAAGGAACTGTGGGCCGAAAGGCTGCAGTAGGCACAAGGGCAGGTCTCAGCCCATCCTCCACGCCCCCGCCCGGTCCCTCCTGCCGCGGCCCCGGTCCTATCTGCTGGCAGCCCTGCTCCTGCCACCACCACCACCACCGCTCCCACGCACTGACAGCGCCGGCCCCACTCACACCCACCAGAGCAATTGGCCAACGCCAGCAGCGGGTGCAAGTGGGGCGGCACCACCAGTGGGTGTAAGCGGCGGCTGCTGCCTCAATCGCCCCTCAAGAGCAAGGGGAGGTGGAGAAGTTCTCAGGGGTAATCAGGGTCAGCAGCCACCACTCACACCTGCTGATGGTGCCGAGTGATCGGGACCAGTGCTGGGCACGGGCAGCAGGTGTGGGAAGGGCCGGCACTGGCAGTGGGTGTGAGTGGCAGCTCCAGTGCTGGCAGTGGTGCGAGCAGGGCCAGAGCCGCAGCAGGTGCGAGCATCGGGTGGAACTGTAGAGCACAGGAGCAAAGAATTTTCAGTAACCACCAGAGGCTCGCCCCAATGACAGCGACCAGTGCCGTGCCTTGGTCTGGCACCCCCGCTCACTTGCTCCACCATCCCACTGCGGCCAATGCCCGCCATGTTCCACACACACACCCTGGTAGTCGGCGCACATCATAGCGACCGGTTGTTTGGTTTTTTCCGGTGGTTCCGCCATTCGGTCTATTTGCATATTAGCCTTTTATTATATAGGATATAATAGATTTCAGAGAGAGAAGGAGAGGAAGAGAGAGATAGAAACATCAACGATGAGAATCATTGATTGGCTGCCTCCTGCACGCCCCCTACTGGAGATCAAGCCCACAACCTGGGCATGTGCCCTTGACCAGAATCAAACCTGGGATCCTTCAGCCCGTAGGCCTACTCTCTATCCACTGAACCAAACCAGCTAGAGCAAGTCCCAGCTTTAAAACCCTCAAGAAGTTCTCACTTCAGCAACACAGATACTAAAATTGGAACAATACGGAGGTTAGCATGGCCCCTGCACAAGGATGACACACAAATTCATAAAGTTTTCCATACTTTAAAAAAAAAAAACTCAAGCGGCAGGACCCAGCACGCTCTCCCCCCCAGGTCACACCTGCACCTTTCTGGTCCCCCTCTCCTTACCCTCAGGCACATTGCCGTTTTCTTTCCCTCTCCTAAGCTTCAAGGGTCCATCTTTTGCTTCTGTAACTGGTTTCCTGAGTCCATTTCTTCTGTGGCTCCCTTCTACCTCCGTATCTGAGTTCTTGGCTCTGAATCTTTCTTTGCTGAACTCACGAACCAAGGTCCATTGGTTGCAGGCTCAAACCCCAGGCCCCAGTCAGGGTGCCTGCAGGAGGCAACAAATTGATGTGTCTCTCTCATCATTGATGTTTCTATCTCTCTCTCCCTCTCCCTCTCCCTTCCTCTCTGAAGTCAATATATATTTTTTTAAAAAAGAACTGAGGCCCTAGCCCAGTGATGGCGAGCCTATGACACACTTGTCAGAGGTGACACGCGAACTCATTTTTTTTGGTTGGTTTTTCTTTGTTAAATGGCATTTAAATATATAAAATAAATATCAAAAATATGTCTTTGTTTTACTATGGTTGCAAATATCAAAAAATTTCTATATGTGACACGGCACCAGAGTTAAGTTAGGGTTTTTCAAAATGCTGACACGCTGAGCTCAAAAGGTTCGCCATCACTGCCCTAGCTGGTTTGGCTCAGTGGCTAGAGCGTCGGCCTGCAGACTGAAGGGTCCTGGGTTCAATTCCAGTCAAGGGCACATCCCTGGGTTGTGGGCTCGATCCCCAGGAGGGGGCATTCAGGAGGCAGCTAATCAACGATTCTCTCTCATCATTGATGTTTCTCTCTCTCCCCTTCCTCTCTGAAATCAATATATATATATATATATTTTTTTTTTCTTTTTCTTTTTTTTTTTTTTAAGAACCGAGGTACAGTTTCACCACCAACATCACTGGTTACACTTCCAAAGAAGGATCTATCTTCAGACCCTCGACCACTGCCTGGAAATGACCTCACTCAAGTGAAGACAGAATTCCTTGACCTGTGCCCAAGCCTCTCCATAAAAGCCCCGCTGATTTTATGCCTCTGTTTGCCTGGGTCTCAGGAGCATGAAGGCTTGGGGTGCAGCAGACCTGAGGTGGAGTTCCATGCATAGGGGGGTGAGGGCAAAGAGCGTCCCAACCAGGGAGTCTGTGAGGAGGTAAAGGACTGGCCCAAAGTCAGAAGCTAGGACGCTGCCTGGGGTGTCTCGCCTTCCTCCTCCTCCACCCTGCCTCCCACCCCCGGCACAAATAAAGGTGGAGCAGGAAGGGAATGAGGGCGGGCCGGGAGACTCCGAAGTGAAACCTAGATTCCATGATAAGGACGAGCAATAACTAAGCTAATTAAGATTACCTATGACTAGATAGAAAAACGTCACTGGGCCCTTGCCAGTGTGGCTCAGTGATTGGAGCATCAACCAGAGCAATGAAGTCACATGTTTGAGTCCCTGTCAAGGTCACAAACCTGGGTTGCAGGTTCAATCCCAGGCCCCGGTTGGGAGTCAAGGTAAGTGCAGGAGACAACCAATTGATGTGTTTCTTTCACATTGATGTTTCTCTCTCTTCCCATCCCTTCCTTCCATTCTCTCTAAAAATCAATGGAAAAATATCCTCTGGTGAGGATTAACAACAAAAATGTCACTGGGTACCACCCAAAACAATAATGTAATTGACAATGTAGATGTGAGAAATGTCCGAACCTGTAGAAAATTTTTATAAGAGTTTATCTGAGCCCAAAGTGGTGACATATGTGGGAGAGCAAGATCTCAAATGCTCCAGAGAAAAAGTTTGGAGTTTCTTTTATGAATTTGAAATTCAGGAGAGGATGTAAGGAAGAATGGGGAAGGCAAGGTAGGAACTGGATTACAGGATAGTTAAGTTTATTTGTTCTCTCTCTTTTTTTAAGAAAGTAGGAAGGAATTTTATTGTCAAAACAAGTAAGAGACGTGAGCATAACAGAAGACACAAATAAATTGTTTGTTGACACGTGAAAAAGAAGCCCTGCCCCACAGAACTGCCCTGGAGGCACCACAGTAGGAAGTGCCTCTTGCCCAGCCAGCATGGCGCAGTGGTTGAGCGTCAGGTTCGATTCCCAGGCAGGGCACATGCCCGGGTTGTGGGCTAAACCCCTGGTGTGAGACATGCAGGAGGCAACCGGTCAATGATTCTCTCTCATCATTGATGTTTCTATTCTCTCTCTCCCTCACCCTTCCTCGCTGAAATCAATAAAAATATTTTTTTTAAAAAAAGAGAAACCGGCTCTCCCCAACAGCCATAGCCAGGGCTCCGGTCTCCACGCAGGAGAAGGGTCCCTGCCAAACCCGGCTTTTCTTCACGCCCAGATCTCAAGCAGATTTTAGGTCCCCGAACCAACAAGGATGGAGCACACAGCACCAGCCGCCGAGAGGGCCAGAAACTAGTCAGTGAGTACCTCTGCTCCCCAACTGGTCCATGCCCTTGCTGACCCTGGTAAAGGAATCAAGAAGCCTTGGTTTAGCCCTAACCGGTTTGGCTCAGTGGATAGAGCGTCAGCCTGCAGACTGAAAGGTCCTGGGTTCGATTCCGGTCAAGGGCATGTACCTTGGTTGCGGGCACATCCCCAGTAGGGGGTGTACAGGAGGCAGCTGATCGACGTGTCTCTCTCATCAATGTTTCTAACTCTATCTCCTCTCCCTTCCTCTCTGTAAAAATCCATGATATTTAAAAGAAAAAGAGAAAAAAAAAGAAGCCTTGGTTGGGGGGGGGGGGGGGCGTGTGGGAGGGGCTTGGTTTGGGAGCAACACAAACATTTTCTACCTCATAAGCAATGACTGAGTTCTTGTCTAGGCTAAAAATGCAAAAATTGTTGATGAGGCCCCCCCATACATCACTGCTGAGAGTATTTAGTCTAACTTTAAATTAAAGCAATGCACAATGGCTTCTTCCACACAAGGACAAGCTTTGCACTAATGTTTCTCAAAAACCAACTATGCCTCCAGTTCTAGCCCCAGGTTAAGAGGTTTAAAAACAACAAACCCAAACCATTCCTATGTCAGAGCCAGGGTAATAAAGGAAGTGGGTGCCAGACACCCTGTCTTCAGAGTCATTGGAAGAGAAAGCTCTAGAAGCCGGTGGGTGTGAGCACATTCAAGTCATGGGGTTTGAGATTGTGGGTCCGAGTTGGTTGCTTCTTCCCTCCCATCGCTGGGAGGTCCATCTTGGGTGGCGTGAAGGTTGCTGGCTCTTCCACCATCGGGTGGCCTGCATGCGCTTCAGTTCCACTGGAGAAGGCTTCTGGGCTCCTCCGTAGGGCTGGTGGCAATGCCTCCAGATCAGACTTCTGGAGGGATCTTGGTCCAAAGAGGCTGCATTTATCTGCCGAGTTTCTGTCTCTATGTCCGCTTCCAGAATCCATGGTGCTAAGATTTGGGCCCAGGGAAGGCTGTGGAAGAGCCAGAAGAGACCAGCCTCCTACTAGGGATGGAGCCCAAAACCCAGGCATGTGCCCTTGTCCGGAATCGAACCTGGGACCCTTCAGTCCGCAGGCTGGTGCTCTGTCCACTGAGCCAAACCGGCCAAGGCACACAGTATCTAGTTTCCCATTTTTCAATACCAGCTTCCAGAGTCACCCTCCAAAATGCAAAGCTGAGTGCATCTCGTGTCAAAAGACGAATTCCACCTGCCTGCGTAAACTTGAGGTCTAATTAACTTGATTAAGCAATTCGTGAACCAGCTGCAGCCCATCAAGCAATTAGAGTTCGCGTGTCACCTCTGACACGCGTGTCACAGGTTCGCCATCACTGTCCTAGGGGGTTGTACAAAATGGAAGTTTTTTGGGCAAAAAAAAAAGGGTGGGACTCAGACTTTAAAAGAGTGGATTATTTCAGGCAAAGTGGATTGTTTCTTAGGGGAAGGCAGGAGATTTTATTAGGAAGGCTTGATAGGCAGCAGGGTGGGGAAAGGGAGCTATTAGGGAAAGAAAAGAAAGGATTACTTCGGGGCCATGATCCTTGTCTTTGAGGAAAAGAAGGGAGGGGGTTTCATCAAGCAGACTGCCTCTAGGGCAGTGGTTCTCAACCTTCTGGCCCTTTAAACACAGTTCCTCATGTTGTGACCCAACCATAAAATTATTTTTGTTGCTACTTCTTAACTGTAATGTTGCTACTGTTATGAATCGTAATGTAAATATCTGATATGCAGGATGGTCTTAGGCCAGTGATGGCGAACCTATGACACTCATTTTTTTGGTTGATTTTTCTTTGTTAAATGGCATTTAAATATATAAAATAAATATCAAAAATATAAATCTTTGTTTTACTATGGTTGCAAATATCAAAAAATTTCTATATGTGACACGGCACCAGAGTTAAGTTAGGGTTTTTCAAAATGCTGACATGCCGAGCTCAAGAGGTTCGCCATCACTGTCTTAGGCGACCCCTGTGAAAGGGTCATTCGACTGCCAAAGGGGTCGCGACCCACAGGTTGAGAACCGCTGCTCTAGGGGAATGGAGAGGGCCCGGGTGACAGATGACCTTACTTACAGGTGCTTGACCAGAAAATTCCATACTGGTTGATTAAGATTTAATGTTTCTGGGAAAGGTTGACATTACAGTTACATCGGGTATTACATCTAGGTTTGGTATCGAGGACTTCCAGCATGAGTGACGTTATTTGGGGCCGTGGTTTTCTGCTTAACACCTGCTTATCTCATAGGTGAAGGCTCCCCGTCACCTCCAGGTGTGTGGCAGGCTGTTAGGCAGACATGAGCACAGCAAGGACAATGGGCCAGGTACACACAGAAGGGCACCAGGTTGGAAAGCCCTGAGTGCCTAGCAATGGGCAGAACTGGGAAAACAAAGACCTTGCCCCAAGGTAACCTTTCCTCCCCTGGCGTATTGCTCGTCATGCGGGTTAGACCCCCTGACCTTTCATGTCGCTGGTCATGTGGTTTGGACCACATGTCACTAGTCACTTGGTAGATCCCTTTAGAGGAGGAACAAGGGGGCCTGGAAATAGCCTCGTGGGACCCCCCTCCCCCACACACACACACACAAGCCCTTGCACAACCACATCCTTAAGCATTAAGCCCTAGAGATGACATGTAGGCCTCAGCTGTGTTTCAGCTCCAGGCCCAGAAAAGCAGCAAAACCAGAGGGAGCTACACCACAGCTGACCAGCTGCATTGATTACTACACGGACCAATCAGTGGAAGCCAGGAGCCTGAGGGGACACCCCTGGAAAGCTAATGAATATTCTACTGAGACCCTCCCTGGGACCATCCTAAACTCTCCACCTCTGGGGAGCAGATAAAAGCCTTCAAAATAAAGAACCCAATCTGAGTTCTCTTTAGAGAGCAGGGGCCACCTTTCCCCGCCCCCTCCCCCCAGGCATGTTTTCCTTGCCTTTCTCTTAAACTCCAAGAGCCCTTCCTTTGCCTCTGTAGCTTGTTTCCTGACGCCATTTCTTCTACAGCTCACTTCTACTTCTGTGACTTTCTAAATGACCTCTCTCTATAGTTTGAGTCTCGACTCAGAATTCTTAGCCAGAACTCAAGTACCGATTGCTAAACCGAGGTCCGTCTGACTCCACCAGTCTAACACCTGGTGCTGTTTCACCACCAACAGTTGGAGCCAAGCTCACTATTGGGGCAACCCAGGGCGGCTCACCTCCCAGAGCACCCCTGTTGGTGTACGTAGCTAGACATGGTTGAGTTGGATGGCCTGGGGAGCTGAACCCAATGGGGCTTGCTTTACTAGGCAGTTGCAGCATTGCCCCACCAAAGGGCTTCACACCCTCCCTCCCCTGGCTTTTCAATCTCCCAGGGTACAGTCAGTCCACTCACCCAGACTTTGGGGGGGAGGGCGGAGGAGTGAACAGTAAAGGGGAAATTCCTCTGCTGGGTGCATGTGCAGTAGAAGCCACGCTGGCACAGGGGAGGCGCTCCCACTAGGAGGCGTGGGCAGCAGGAACTAAGGGGCAGGGCTTAGCCTGGAAAAAGGATCAGATTGGATGAGGGAGACAGACCCCAGAAGATCTAGGAAATGAGTTGAGAGGGGAAGGACCCCACTCAAGCACAGGAGGGATTGGGAAATGGATGGGTTATTTTGAAAGGGGGCCTGGTCCTTCCCAAGCCCCAGATAATATAATCCCAGCTTAACAAAGAGCATGCGCGCTCTCTGCCTTTACATGCGCTTGGCCGTGCACTCACGTGCTCTCTCTACATAGCGGGCACCTGGGCCCAGCCGCTGCCTGGGGTCTGGCAGCCACGCGGACTCCAACTGCGGGCCTGGGCGCAGCACCAGCCGAAGCACCACCGGGAGCGAGCGGACTGAGCCGGCCCGATGGGGACAGCACGGCCTGGCCCGGAAGTTCTGGACGCCGGCCCTATTTCTGGGCCGGTGCAGACCATACTGGACTTTGCCACAGCGGGCATGGGCCTGAAGCCGGGACAGGCCTTTGTGTTTGCTCCAACTTCAGGAAACCTGTAGACAAAAGGGGCCACATGCTGACCTGATAAGCTCAGGGGAGGCCTGCGTGGCAGTCTTGCAAACTCAGAGGATGGTCTGAAATTAAACTTTAACTAAAGCAGTTATGGTGGGCAGTTACGTCCTAGGCCGGTATCTTCACTGACAAGGTCAACCTTTACCTTAACTGAGCCTATCTGTCTTTTTGCATCTATGATAACATACCCTTGAAATGTCTGGGTAACTTGTAACGTCCCTTCTTCTGGAGCTTCTTGGGGCACAACCAAATATGCTGGGCTCCAGGACAGATACCACAAATTCCTTCCTTATTGTTAGGTTGGAGAAAGCCCAGGATCAGGTACATGCAGACATGTGATGAGACAATGGACTTCCCCTGGAATTTCTCACGGATCAACGTGCCAGACACAGATACTGGCTTCTCCGTGACCCCTTGCAGCTGAAACTTCCTCAACTGACTACCTCAGCTCATGTCCCCGCCCCTCACCCAACCGCAGTATAAAAAAAGCGCCCCCCCTCCCTGTTGGTGTGAATCCACGTGCCCTGTCCTGGGGGTACGTGGGTCTCCCGGGACGCAGAATAAACCTTCTCCTTTCCTTTCTTTTCTGATTCACTGGACTCTATTTCTTGCGCCGCCTCCTGAGCCACCTAACCTAACACTTATCATGTTAATTGATCCTGCATCCACCTAAGTATGTGTCCATCATTTTACTTTTTATCCAATCCCAGGGGTTTCCCCTGTTTTGCTTTATCCCTCCTCCTTAACCTATCACCAGTGAATTTCATGTACCCACCTACGTCCCTCCTTTGATTGCAATGTATAAATACAAATGTAACCCCGCCATTCTCCGGAGCATTATCTCCATTCATTGAGGTTCTGCTTCCCAGCATATGTCGACAGTTTGGCTCAAATAAACTCACAAAAATTCTTTACAGGTTTTAATGTTTTTTTTTTCGTTAACAAACCTTACCACTCACCACATCCTCCCACGCATGGTCCCCAAAATGCTTTTCTTACACCACAGCCAGGACCCTATTTCCAATGGCAACACCCCAGTCACACTGCACTGCTCATGTCCCCCAGCAAGCCCTGGTCTTCCTTCCCTGGCCTCTGACCCTCATGATTCCCCAAGGTCTCCATGACTCCCCTGAAAGTCACCCCACCCAGCCAGATGGTTGGGGCTTCTCCTCTGAGCTCCTAACTCCCTGTGTCTCTTTAATCCATCATGCCCCCCACACTGGGCCCTGACATTGGTACACCCTTACAGGCTGAGCCCCTCCAGCAGCACCGCCTCCATACACCCCCCTCCCCCCCCCCCGTTTCTTCTCTCCCACCATAGTCATGGGCAGCAGCTGGGTCCCCAGAGCCTAGCACAGTGCTAGGCACAGAGTAGGGCTCAGAACCTTAATTGGTTGTCTGTCTCCGGAGGAGATGTGTCACTGGCAGCCTGGAGTCTGCCTCAGAGCTGTTCCTCCTGCCAAAAGCCAGAGCCGGATCAAGTCCCTCTTCCCTAAGACACAGCCGGCTGAGCCCTCAGAACCCAGAGGGGAGTGGGTTGGCTGGGGTAAGGGCAACACACACCCTACTGGGAGGAAAGACCAGGCCCCTATCCCCACCCTGCTGCTGACCCACTCCTCTTCCCTTAGCTGAAAAGGGGGGTGATGCTGCCTCCCCTTTAAGAGTGTCTCCATCTAAATAAACAAGCAACTCTAATACAAAGGCTGTTTGCCCAGCCAGGGTGGTTCAGTGATTGAGCCTCGACCCATGAACCAGGAGGTCATGGTTCAATTCCTGGTCAGGGCACAGGCCGGGGTTGTGGGCCTGAACTCCAGTAAGGGGCAGCCAATCAATGCTTCTCTCTCATCAATGTTTCTATCTCTCTCTCCCTGTCCCTTCCTCTTTCTGAAATCAATAAAAACATACTTTAAAAAATAAATAAAATAAAAGGCTGTTTGTACATGGAGAAGCATTCTCAACTGTGAGAGCTAAGTTCTGGATTTTTCTTTCAAAAAGAGGTTCGTCCAGCATTGGTGTTAAATACTATAACCCCTCAAAAGTCACCATCCCATTGTAAGGCGTCCAGGTACACTGTCCTCACCAATGTCGCCATCCATCTTTTAATTGTCAAATCTGGCAGCACTGCCCTGACTGGTTTGGCTCAGTGGGTAGAGCGTCGGCCTGCGGACTGAAGGGTCCCAGGTTTGATTCCAGTCAAGGGCATGTACCTTGGTTGCGGGCACATCCCCCGTGGGAGGTGTGCAAGAGGCAGCTGATGGATGTTTCTCTCTCATCGATGTTTCTAACTCTCTATCCCTCTCCCTTCCTCTGTAAAAAATCAATAAAATATATTAAAAAAAATCTGGCGGCACTTTGCTGACCTTACGGGACTCTGCTCCTGGCATAACTGAACACCCTTTCTTCTTGAAGTGATCCTTGCATTCGCTCCTGGGACCCTTTCCACCCTCTTCATTCTGCCCCACTCTTCTTGACCGCTTCCCTGGTTCCCCGTGGTCTGCGTCCACTCCTCTCTGTGCCTTAGACAGGAAATGATGCTCACATCCTTGTCTTTGGTCCCGAGCCCCAGGCCCCTATATTTAGTGTCCTTCTGGGCAGCTCCTGGGGGATGACCCACAGCTCAGGACTCCACCGGACCTGAACCAAACTCCCAACTTGCTCCCCCCTCCCAGGCTCCTTCCATTTGCCCGTCATTCATTCTTCCATCTACACTCTTACCCGCATACATACACCTGAATCAGTCCCCAGGGGCCCTGCTGATTTCTCTGTGAACCTCTGCAAGCTGAAGTCCTTGTGCCCATTACAGGTGATTTTTGGACTCATGTAAACTCCAGGGAGCTAAAGTCGGGACAGTCCCTAACTTCCTTCCCCTGCCAGGGGCCCCAGGACACCCTGTGCTGGAGATGGCAACTCAGTCTCTCCGCACGGACGGACTTGTTGTCCCAGGCGTGACCTGCATGACCCAGGCCAGCAGCATGCCAGGCCTATCGGTTTATCTCAGGTAGGTAGACTATCAGCCACAATCTGGGTGGAAGAAAAAGTCAGCTCCTTAGGCAGACCTAATCTGCCCTTGTCACCAGCCCTGGCAAGATCTTCTTGACTCCCTAGGGCAGGGCAGAAAGAGGAAGGGACAATCCACCTGCCTCCTTTTACAAATGGGGAACCAGGGCCAGAGAAGGGAAGGCGCTTGTTGTAGGTCTGTAGATCCCTGGTTTCTCAACTCCCAGGCAGGGCAGATAGGCCGGGGGTGGGGGCTCAGGCCAACATCCTCGGCTGCCTCTTCATGTGCTCAAAGTTCATATTCAGGGTGACAGGATTTTCTGCTTGACCCGTTAAGATCCTGGGAGGGAGAGGGAAGAAGCAGAGGGTGGGGAGGGAGGAGGAGCTCCACCCTCCACAACTGCCAGAAGGAGCTGCCCTGCCCTGGATAGAAAAAGGTGCTCTTGGGAGCTCCTGCCTCCCACCCAATCCCAGCTGCAGAGCACTCGGGACTCTGGGCCGTGAGGAGTTGGGAGACACTCTCCAGAGAGGCTGCCATGGCCTGCAAGAAGTGCTCAAACAAGTGGTGCTTTGCCGGCGTTGCCAGTGTGATCCTCGTGTGTGCCATCGGATTGGTCCTGGGCTACATGATGCTGGGGGTGAACCAGCCAGGTAGGTCCCTCCCCACCATGCCATTAGCTTAGCTCCCCTCATCCCTCACTCCTTGTCCCCACCAAGGCAGATCTAATCTGTCCTTGTCACCCACCCTCCTGGTCCTCAGCCACAGCCGTGATGGCCTTCTCTCCCATCCCACATCCCCACCAAGATTCATCCCCACCAAGACTTCATTGGCCTCTCCCATTCTCAACCACCCCAAGACCGCTCCCCTGAGGAAGGTTACTTTGGCCTTCTTTCCCTCCCTCCTTCACCAGGCTTCCGTTGCCTGAAAATCACACTAAATCTTGGTCTTCAGCCCAGACCACGCCCCCCCCCCTCCTGGTGCCCCCAATAGGCATTCCTTCCTAGCAGTGATTTGGGCATCTCAAACGGTGCATTGAGCCAAATTCACCCTTTCCCCCTGGGAGCAGCCTCCTCATCCTTCTGCCTCAGGCCTTTCTTCTCAGGCCCTTCACCTTGAGGCCTCTGCCTTCTCCCTCCATGGGCTGCCTACCACCTTACCTTCCCAGGCTCCTCCAGCTTTCCTAGGCTGCCGGCTCCTCCCAGGCCCCTGAAGTGGCCTGCTCCCTCCCACACGGTCTCTGCCACCAGTGAGACCTTTCTAACCACAGAACTCACTCGCTGCCCTCAGCGCATGCCCAACTCCTTTGCTGTCAGTCAAGGCCATTTACAACCTGGTCACAAAGCTTTTATCACTCTTGCCACTTCCTTTTCTCTACATTCCACCTGCAACAAGCCAAAGTTCAGTCCTTCAGGCGGCCCTCTTCCTACAGTCAAGCTTTTGCTTCTAATGTCCTGTGCCCATACATGTTCCCTTCTCTGTAAATTTCTTGACTGCCCCAGGCTGGTTTGGAGCCTCCTTGCACCCAGGAGCCCATGTACTGCCCTCTCCCGCAGCACTGGTGACTGGGGTCCCACTGTCTCTCTGCTAGCTGGCATGCTGGACACACCCTGGAGCCTAGAGAGGGAGGGTGGGTGAGTGGACAGGGGTCCTGTGGCTAACAGCACCTTGGCCTTCCTTCTAGGCTGTAAGGAGGATGCAGTTTGTCGCCCAGATGCAGACATGCTGGACTACTTGCTGAGCCTGGGCCAGATCAGCCAGCGGGATGGCCTGTTGGTCACCTGGCACCATGCTGCCAACAGCCAGAAGGACATGAGGGCAGCCCTGGAAAGTAAGTCCAGCTGTGTGGACGGAGACAGGCCAGGGCAGGAGTGGGGGAGATGGTGGTGTTCCCCGAAAGGGGACCTGGCCCTTGGCGTGTCTGCCTAGGACAGCCAGTAGTGTGTGGGTTCTTTGTGTGTGTGTTAATCCTCACCCAAGAATATTTTTCAATTGATTGTTAGAGAGAGTGGAAGGGAGGGGGAGAAACAGAGAAACATCGATGTGAGAGAGACACATCGATTGGTTGCCTCCTGCAACCGAGGTACACGCCCTTGACCAGAATTGAACCCAGGACCGTTACTCCACTGAGCCAAACCAGCTAGGGCAGTGTGTGGGTTCTTGCCATAGTGCAGGAAACGTTTCACAACACGAGTCCAGGTGAATTTTAGAGGATGTCTATTAAAGCTGGGGGCAGCGAAACAGGAACGGGCTGAGGACATGAGTCTAGGCTGGTCTGCTTTGGCTTCCCAAGAAGTCAGAGGAAAGGGGCTTTGGGGACACTGCTCCCCTGGTTGCAAGCCTTGTGGGGTCCCTTAGAGTTTAGGAGACGCATGCCGGTGGGGGAGAAAGTGTCCCTGGTTTAGGGAAGGTAGGATTCACTGCGTGGCTGCAAACTGCTTGTTTAACTATCATCTGTTTCCCTACTTCTGGTCCTGGCTGACTGGCCTGTCTCAGGGAGAGCAGAGGTGGAGGTTAGACGGCACTGCCTACCCCGTGGCATGATGGTGGCTACTCACCTGGCTTGTCAGACTAGGGAGTGGGGGCTCAGAGGTGAAGGGACTGGCTCAGGCTGTGCAGCTGATAAGCTCTGAGCCTCGGGCTTGAACCAGAAGTCTGATTCCAAAGTCATCATGTCCTGCCCGCCCTCCCTGCTACCCCTCCCATGACCCGTCAGTGACAACTGTCCCTGCTGAGGAGGCCTTTGCCCTCAACACCTAAGGAAACCAGAAAACGTGTGCTTGAGGCCCAGCGCTACCAAGCTGTAGAAACCGGAGCAAATAGTGCAGCTCCTCGGAGTCTCCAATTGAGAGTGATTATGGCAGCCCGTCAGCGACGGCTCACTGTAGGGACGGGCACACAGGTTCCACGTGTGTTCTCCTGGATCTGCAAGCAGTTTCATGGGTACCATGTGGCAAAAGTAAAAAGGAGGCTCAGAAAAGTTGGGTGACTCACCCAGGGTGACACCAACATAGGAACCCAGAGTGGTTGGCCCCACACTCCTGGCCACTGCACTACGCCCGACCCAGTTCAATAAGGAAGAAATAAAACTAAAACAGTAACCATCCAAAATGAAAGGCATGGCCCTCAGACTGGAGCATGCTTCAGATCGCTGACCCCACCCCAAGCTTCTGATTCAGTGAGTCTGGGGTGGGGTCTGAGAATTTGCATTTCTGATAAGTTCCCAGGTAGTGCTGATGCTGCCGGCCCCACAACCAAAATCTCTCCATTTCAGAAGAGGAAACTGGGGTCCAGAGTGGGAGGCAGTCTTGTCCAAGGTCACACAGAACAAGGTGTAGGCACCAGGCCTCTAGCTCTTAATCCTATAGGGTCACCACACCAGAGGGCCTGGGTGTGAGTGCCTGGGAAAAGCTTGCTGAGTGAATGAATGGTTAGGGAGCACTTCTTGGAGGAGGCAGGCGTGGTGGAGAGGAAAGGCCACCACAGGCTGGGAAGAGCCAGTTTGCTGTGCTTCAGGAATCTCTGATTAAAAGGCAGATTGCCAGACCTTGGTGATAAGAAAAACATCCCTCCCGCTGATGAGAGAGCCAGGCCAGAGAGGGAGGACTCCTATCTGGGAGATAAGACCTGGGGTGAACAGGACTTACCACCCCTGGGCTCATCCCATGTCAGCCCAAGAGCAGCTGACAGATCCAGCCCTACCAAGCTGTGACATTGGCCAAGAAGAAAGCCAAGGGCCCCACCCAGGCAGTGCCAACAGCTCAGAAGCATGGAGAGGCACCCTTAGCATAGCTTCAGGGGTCCAGCGAGGACCCCAGGCCAGGCTTCTTCCTGAGAGCCCTGTGGTGGGCCCCTGGGAGGAGGGCGGTGCCACCATGGGGTGGGCATCCTGACGGAGAGCCAGTGGTAGGGTTAAACTGGTGAAGTCATCTTAGACATGACCAACGTCCATGCGGAGAGGAGGGGCCAGAGTGAAGGCCTAGGAGGCAAGACAACTAAATTCAAATTTTACCTTGGCTCTTTACCAGCGAAGTGATTTGGAGTAAGTGACTTCACCTGCCTGCAGCTCAGTTTTTCCCTCTACAAAAGGTGTCTTGGTAGGAGGACTGCATCATTTATTATTCCAACCAGGGCACTTTGGATAGTGGAAGAGATCATTATTAATAATTATGCAGTCCTAGCCGGTTTGGCCAGTGGATAGAGTGTCAGCCTGCGGACCGAAGGGTCCCACGTTCGACTCCTGTCAAGGGCACGTACCTCGGTTGCAAGACCCTCCTCGGCCCAGGCCCTAGTCAGGGCGTGTGCAGGAGGCAACCAATCTGTGTTTCTCTCACATTGATACTTCTCTGTCTTTCCCTCTCCCTCCCACACTCGCTAAGGATTCAATGGAAAAATATCCTCGGGTGAGGATCAAAAAAAAGAAAAAGGATTATGCAGAGGTAACAGAAATATACTAGACTATCCCAGGCAAACAGGGACATAGTGTCACCTAGTTAAGTGAGCTACTCCATGTAAATAATAATTAACACTCAGTGAATGCCTAACCAGGGATATTTTATTGTCTAATTCTAGTAAATGAGAAGGAGATACAGAGAGGTCAAGTAACCTGAGAGGTCAGGCTCACACAGCTCTGCAAGTAACAGCTTTTAATGATAAGGGAGGTTTTTCCAGAAGGAAGCTGGACCCAGGTGGCAATCACAAGGAGACAGGTTAGGGCCACAACGCACTCTCCATCCGTTCTTAGTCCACTTTGCTGAGCATTTGCTGGGCCCCTGCTCTGGGCCAGTCTCAGGAGGAAGACTTAGAAGTAAGAGGTGGCCCTGTCTGTAAGGGCTCACAGTGTCACAGGGGAAGCAGCTAGTGCAAATCAGGGAGGCAGCAGCAGTCCAGACTCCAGTCCTGGCTCCCTCCCGATGCACCCCACTGCCCCCAGATGAGAACTGGCCAGCTAGATGGGGTAGGAGACCCCTCAGATCCATTGGCTTGTGTACCCTTGTATCTGCCCAGCTGTCCCGGTGGACCCGGCTTCTCTGGGCCTCACTGGAGGCCAACCCTTCGGACCTCTCTGTATTCCCAGCTAACCAGTTATTTGTGTTCAAGCCATACAAATTAAGGCTACCCTCATGAAGCCCCTCCGTGTACAATGCGGTTTTATGTCCATGTCCTGTGTTCGTGGCCTGGGGAGGCTCATCCCCATTATGCCAGTGAGGAAACCAGGGAGACGGGAGCTCTGGGCAGGATGCAAAGTGGGATGAAAGCGGGTGATGCAAAGTGCCAGGCTCGGTGCCAGGGACCATCTGCATTCTGCTTCCTTCCCTTCCTGGAAACTTACCGAGATTCTATTTATTTATTTATTTTTAATTTTATTTTATTTAAAGTATTACAAATAGTACATATGTCTCCTTTTTTTCCCCGTTGACCTTCCCCCCCACCCCTCCCCAACCCCCCGGCACATGCCCCCCCCCATCCAGTGTCTTGTGTCCATTGATTATGCATACAAGTCCTTCAGTCGATCTCTTACCTCCCCGCGCCCGCAACCCTCCCCAGCCTCCCCACTGTAATTTGACAGTCTGTTCGATGCTTCTCTGCCTCCGTATCTATCTTTTTGTTCATCAGGTTATAATGGTCTTTATTATCCATAAATGAGTGAGATCATGCGGTATTTTTGTTTCTCTGCCTGGCTTATTTCACTTAGCATAATGCTCTCCAGTTCCATCCATGCTGCTGCAAATGATAAGAATTCCTTCTTTTTTAGAGCAGCATAATATTCCATCGTGTAGACTACCACAGTTTTCTAATCCATTCATCTGCTGATGGGCACTTAGGCTGTTTCCAGATCTTAGCTATGGTGAATTGTGCTGCTATGAACAGAGGGGTGCATATATCCTTTCTGATTGGTGTTTCTGTTTTCTTGGGATATATTCCTAGAAGTGGGATCACTAGGTCAAATAGCAGCTCCATTTTTAAATTTTTGAGGAAACGCCATACTGTTTTCCACAATGGCTGCACCAGTCTGCATTCCCACCAGCAGTGCCTTTTTCTCCGCCTCCTCTCCAGCACTTGTCATTTGCTGATTTGTTGATGATAGCCATTCTGACCAGTGTGAGGTGGTACCTGATTGTTCTTTTGATTTGCATCTCTCAGACGCTTAGTGACTTTGAGCATGTTTTCATCTGTCTCTTGGCTTTCTGAATTTCCTCTTTCGAAAAGTATCTAGTTAGGTTCTTTGCCCATTTTTTGATTGGATTATCTTCCTTTTGTTGTATGAGTTCCCTGTAAATGTTGGAGATTAAACTTTTATCAGTGATAACATTGGCAAATATGTTCTCCCAAGCAGTGGGCTTTCTTGTTTTGTTAATGGTTTCTTTTGCTGTGCAGAAGCTTTTAATTTTGATGTAGTCCCATTTGTTTATTTTCTCCTTAGTCTCTCTTGCCCTAAAATCTGTAGACACCAGATTTTAGAGAAATCTGAAAATTCTCTGTGACTTTGGGCAGTCTTTCATTTTTCTGGACCTGGGCTGTTTGATCATTCATTCATTCAACAAACTTTTTTTAGCCTCTTTCTTTAAAAAAAAAAAAAATTGAGCCCAGCTGGCATGGCTCAATAGTTGTGCATCAACCTATGAACCAGGAGGTCACAGTTCCATTCCCAGTCAGGGCACATGCCTAGTTTGTGCACTTGATCCCCATTGTGGGGTGTGAAGGAGGCAGCTGATCAATGATTCTCTCTCATCAATGATGTTTCTATCTCTCTCTCCCACTCCCTTCTTCTCTGAAATCAACAAAAATATTTTTCTAAAAAAATTAAATTGATTGGGATAATGTTGGTTAATAAATAATATTATGCCAAAACCGGTTTGGCTCAGTGGATAGAGCGTCGGCCTGCGGACTGAAAGGTCCCAGGTTCGATACCGGTCAAGGGCATGTACCTGGGTTGCGGGCATATCCCCAGTTGGAGATGTGCAGGAGGCGGCTGATCGATGTTTCTCTCTCATCGATGTTTCTAACTTTCTGTCTCTCTCCCTTCCTCTCTGTAAAAAATCAATAAAATATATTTAAAAAAAAATAATAATAATAAAAATAAAATAAAATAAAATAAATAATATTATGTGAATTTCAGGTGTAAAACTTTGCAATACAACATCCGTGTACTCTATTGTGTCTTAACATCCCAGGCTCGTCTCCTTCCATCACCCTATATTTGACCCCCTTTACCCTCTGTCCTCCCCTCAAGCGCCTCCCCTCTGATAAAGACTTGTGTTGTCTGTATCTATGAGTTTGTTTTCTTCGTTCACTTGTTGCTTTTCGTTTTGTATCCTACAGAGGAATGAAATCAAACGGTTCTTGTCTTTTTCCATCTGACTTTTTTCACTTAGCCCTAGTGCTCTCAGACCCATCCCAGCTGGGGTGTCACTGGGCGTCCGAGGTGTAGGGAGTGCCTCCTGGAGCACAGAGGAGGTCGAGAATCATGTCCCTGAAGTGGCAGCAGACAGCCAGGAACCCTGCTGCCCAAGAACCAGGCAGCCCAGAGAGCAGGGCGTGGATATTGAGCCCGAAGGAGAAAGGGCTCATTGTGGCAGATGGCCTACAGCCATTCCTGTGTAAAAAGTCCCCAAATGTTGCATCATTATTTATTAGTAGAAAAAATTAGAAACTATAGGAATGTCTCAGGAATAGGAGGGGGTAACTAAATCGAGAGGGTAACTATGTCTCCTTTTTTTCTTTAACGAAGCATATAAAAGTTTGTGAAAATGTATCATATTGTTGAAAGAGATTAAACATTAGACATGCAGTGTGGTCTCAACTGTGTAAAAGCTATACAGTGGCAAAAACGAAAGAAAATATATCAAAACGTGAACTATGGTGGAAATGTGGATAGACAGTTCCCTTCATCCTGCTTTTCTGTACTTTCCGAGTGTTCCATCATAAACATGCAACAGGTTTTATGATGAGAAACGACTGTTTAAAAACAATCAAGAACTGATTGAGTTCTGTGTCTTATCCAGGCGACGTCATGGTCCTGGAGGCGGATGTCAACCTAGAAGGGCTCAACACAGCCAACGAGACAGGGGTCCCCATCATGGCGCACCCCCCACTCATCTATAGTGACAACACCCTGGAGCAGTGGCTGGATGCTGTGCTGGCCTCTTCCCAGAAGGGTGAGCACCTCTCCGCCCCTCCCCAGCTCCCAGCCCTCTGGTCCTCAGACAGCGTCAGCAGGGACCGCTCCCCTGGGAGGCAAGTCCAGTTGCTGTCATGAGCTGCTCATTGCCTTGGTTTTCCAGCCCGGAGTTCCCGAGGCCCAGGCCAAGGGAATTCCAGGCGAGATGGGGATGTGAAAGGGCACGTCCTGGGTGTGATCTGGGTGTTCTCTTGGACACAGGGGAGATGGAGGATGTGAAAGGGTACATCCTGGGTGTGATCTGGGTGTTCTCTTGGACACAGGGGAGATGGGGATGTGAAAGGGCACGTCCTGGGTGTGATCTGGGTGTTCTCTTGGACACAGGGGAGATGGGGATGTGAAAGGGCACGTCCTGGGTGTGATCTGGGTGTTCTCTTAGACACAGGGGAGATGGGGATGTGAAGGGTACATCCTGGGTGTGATCTGGGTGTTCTCTTGGACACAGGGGAGATGGGGATGTGAAAGGGTACATCCTGGGTGTGATCTGGGTGTTCTCTTGGACACAGGGGAGATGGGGATGTGAAGGGTACATCCTGGGTGTGATCTGGGTGTTCTCTTGGACACAGGGGAGATGGGGATGTGAAGGGGCACGTCCTGGGTGTGATCTGGGTGTTCTCTTGGACACAGGGGAGATGGGGATGTGAAAGGGCACGTCCTGGGTGTGATCTGGGTGTTCTGTTGGACAAAGGGGAGATGGGGATGTGAAAGGGCACGTCCTGGGTGTGATCTGGGTGTTCTCTTGGACACAGGGGAGATGGGGATGTGAAAGGGCACGTCCTGGGTGTGATCTGGGTGTTCTCTTGGACACAGGGGAGATGGGGATGTGAAGGGGCACGTCCTGGGTGTGATCTGGGTGTTCTCTTGGACACAGGCGAGATGGGGATGTGAAAGGGCACGTCCTGGGTGTGATCTGGGTGTTCTCTTGGACACAGGGGAGATGGGGATGTGAAAGGGCACGTCCTGGGTGTGATCTGGGTGTTCTCTTGGACACAGGGGAGATGGGGATGTGAAGGGTACATCCTGGGTGTGATCTGGGTGTTCTCTTGGACACAGGGGAGATGGGGATGTGAAAGGGTACATCCTGGGTGTGATCTGGGTGTTCTCTTGGACACAGGGGAGATGGGGATGTGAAAGGGCACGTCCTGGGTGTGATCTGGGTGTTCTCTTGGACACAGGGGAGATGGGGATGTGAAGGGGCACGTCCTGGGTGTGATCTGGGTGTTCTCTTGGACACAGGGGAGATGGGGATGTGAAGGGGCACGTCCTGGGTGTGATCTGGGTGTTCTCTTGGACACAGGCGAGATGGGGATGTGAAAGGGCACGTCCTGGGTGTGATCTGGGTGTTCTCTTGGACACAGGGGAGATGGGGATGTGAAAGGGCACGTCCTGGGTGTGATCTGGGTGTTCTCTTGGACACAGGGGAGATGGGGATGTGAAAGGGCACGTCCTGGGTGTGATCTGGGTGCTCTCTTGGACACAGGGGAGATGGGGATGTGAAGGGGCACGTCCTGGGTGTGATCTGGGTGTTCTCTTGGACACAGGGGAGATGGGGATGTGAAGGGGTACGTCCTGGGTGTGATCTGGGTGTTCTCTTGGACACAGGGGAGATGGGGATGTGAAAGGGCACGTCCTGGGTGTGATCTGGGTGTTCTCTTGGACACAGGGGAGATGGGGATGTGAAGGGGCACGTCCTGGGTGTGATCTGGGTGTTCTCTTGGACACAGGGGAGATGGGGATGTGAAAGGGCACGTCCTGGGTGTGATCTGGGTGCTCTCTTGGACACAGGGGAGATGGGGATGTGAAGGGGCACGTCCTGGGTGTGATCTGGGTGTTCTCTTGGACACAGGGGAGATGGGGATGTGAAGGGGCACGTCCTGGGTGTGATCTGGGTGTTCTCTTGGACACAGGGGAGATGGGGATGTGAAAGGGCACGTCCTGGGTGTGATCTGGGTGTTCTCTTGGACACAGGGGAGATGGGGATGTGAAGGGGCACGTCCTGGGTGTGATCTGGGTGTTCTCTTGGACACAGGGGAGATGGGGATGTGAAAGGGTACATCCTGGGTGTGATCTGGGTGTTCTCTTGGACACAGGGGAGATGGGGATGTGAAAGGGCACGTCCTGGGTGTGATCTGGGTGTTCTCTTGGACACAGGGGAGATGGGGATGTGAAAGGGTACATCCTGGGTGTGATCTGGGTATTACCTCTCGGACACAGGGGAGATGGAGGATGTCGCTCCCTCCTACAGGGGCCCTTCCTCCCTGGGTTAGTTCTGCCTGTTTGAAAGCCCTTCTTCACACTCAGCCAGAATCCGGTCCCTTTCTTTCTTCCCCCGTCCTCACCCTCCCCCCTGACCCCCCCCCACCCTCCCCCCCCCCCGCCCCCCCCCACACACACACCATACCTGCTCTTTCAGCCCCAGGAAGTCATGTCTTCCAGTCCTTCTGCCCTGGGCATGAGAAGCCAGTTCCCCAAGCCCTCGGCTCCTCCCGCAGGTATCAAGCTAGACTTTAAGAGTATCAAGGCTGTGGGCCCCTCCCTGGACCTCCTGCGGAGACTGACAGATGCTGGGAAAGTCCGGAGGCCTGTATGGATCAACGCCGACATCCTGAAGGGCCCCAACGTGCCCATCTCCATCCAAGTCAATGCCACACAGTGAGTGTTCCCATCTCTGCCCCAACTGTACCCAGCCCCCTTCCTTCCACACTTGGCACAGGAAGTGCTCAGGGGGCCTTTCCTGCCTTTGCCTCCAGAAATACCATACAGTCTGACCTCTGGGCCTTCACACAGGCTGTTCCCTTTGCCTCGAATGCTTTTCTCCCGTTTCCTGATGAACCTTTGCCCAGTCATTACCTCCTCCAAAAGAGCCCCAACACCCAGGCTGAAAGCACACCTCCTCCTCCCACAGCCCTGATTCCTCTGGGTATGCTCTGTATCCCCAGTGACCGGGACAGGGCTTGACCTGCTAGGAAAGTCTGCTGACTCCTTGCCCAGCCCCCATGAAATCCCAGCACTGCCACCAACAGCCTTCACACCACTGCATGCTACTCTACAGCTTACAAAAGAGGGTCCCATAAAAGGATAGGATATTACTGATCTAATTCCTATGCAGCATCACTAGGCTAGGAGTATTCCCCCCCATTTTACAGATAAGAAAGCTGACAGCAATTGAGGCTTAATTTATTGAATGTTTATTATGTGCCCCAGGCACTTTAGTTGAAGAATACACTTCAATTCTTTTTAAATCCTCACCCGAGGATTTTTCATTGCTTTTAGATAGAGTGGAAGGGAGGTGTGTGTGTGTGTGGCGGGGGCGGGGGGGGGGGGTGGATTGGTTGCCTTTTGCATGCGCACCTACAGGGCAGGGAATCCAGCCTGCAACCAAGGTACATGCCCTTGACTGGGAATCAAACCTGCAACCCTTTGGTGTGCACGCTAAAGCTCATGCTCCGACCACTGAGCAACCGGCCAGGGCCCATTTAACTCTTACAATGAAAATGAGGTAGGTACTATTATTTTCATTTTATTAGTATAGGAACTATCTCATCAAAGTGAAAGGACCTGCCTAAGTCTAGCACTTGGCAGAGCAAAGATTCAAAGCCAGGCCTTGGAGTCTAAGCCCCACACTTGTTTTTAAGCCTCACACTCCTTATCATCCATCTCTCCATCTGTCCAGCCAACCAGCCAACAATCCATTCATCCAATATTTGTGATTCTCAAACTGAGGTGCATTTGGAAAGCAGTAGTTTGAAAATTGTAGTCAGTGGCACAAGAGAAATATATCTTTGTCTTCTTGGGAGTATTGATTTTACTCAGTAGTTGGGGAGAGAGAAGGGAACATTATTTGCCTATTAAAATTAGCATCAGGGCAAAATCCGAATGAAATTTTAAAATAAAATCTGAAGCTTCAGAGACTCTCACAGAAGGCAGAGCCCAGACCCCTGGGGCTCTGGGTTTCATTGCCTCTGTCTATAAGGGAATGCTGAAGAGGCCCTGCCCCCAGGGATGCCATCTCTGAGAATCAAAGCGGCCCAAGGTCACAGTCAGGACCTGAACCCAGACCCTCTGACTCTAAAATCCATGCCTATTTGTGGGGCCTTGAACAAGCCACTCCTGCTCTTCAGGACTCTGCTTCTGCCTGTACATCATAGACTCAACAGGCCCTGCCACATTCCAGCACAGCCATGGGAACCCAGGAGGCGACGACAGGGCCAGCGAGGCTCTGAAAGACGTGTCTCTGATTCTCTGCAGGTTCCTGGCCTTGGTCCAGGAGAAGTATCCTGAGGCCACCCTGTCTCCAGGCTGGACCACCCTCTACGTGCCCCTGTTCCCGAAAAGCACATACACCCGAGCCATGATAGAGAAGATGCAGGAGCTGGTGGGAGCGCTGCCGCAGAGGGTCACCTTCCCCGTGCGGGCTGTCATGGCGCGGGCTGCCTGGCCCCATTTCAGCTGGCTGCTGGGCCAGTCGGACAGGTGAGAACGCCCCGCCCCTGCTCCTGCTCAACCCACCCCGAGGCACTGATGCCCCCAGGAAGATCCCAGATGCTCATGGCTGGTCTTAAAGATTCTAGTCTAACCCCCACGGGTGCTCACATCCTACACAACATCCCTTTCTGCTTGTATACTTCTGGTGACAGGCAGCCCGTCCATTGGTGGATAACTGACTTCCTGCCTGTTGAGTTTACACTAAGACATAACTTGCCTCCCCACAGCTTCCTCCCAGGGGAGCCAGCTGTGGGCTGCACAGATTGTCCCTGCAACCTCTGCCCCGGCTACCCAGCCCCACCTTCAGCAGCTCCCCACAGGAGTCCTGAGGCTTCCCCCTTCATCCACACCTTCATCCACACTGCTCCCCTCTCCCCTGTGCCCGTCCCCTTTCCTAAAACAGAAAAGAAGCACCCTCTCCCTCCTTCTGGGCTTCTGCTTCCAGTTATCCTCCCCAAAGCCTCTGCAGCTTCTTCTGCCCCCAGGAAGGGGGTAGCTCTGGAAGAAGGGGCTGGTGGGAAGTCAGAGGCCCCACTCCTACCCAGCTAGGGTCCAATTCTGAGCACAGGGACTGAGCACCCAGGTGGGCCTAGGCCAACGCTGAGCCTGCTCTCTGGGCCCCAGGTACAGCCTGACACTGTGGCAGGGTGTCACGGACCCCGTGTCAGTGGACGATCTCCTCTACATCCGGGACAACTGTGCCAACCACCAAATCTACTATGACCTCTTCGAGCCTGTCCTGTCGAAGTTCAAGCAGCTTGCAAGTAGGGAGTGGTCTGGAGGGTGGGCTGGATTCTGCAGGGGCATCGGAAGGGGAAGTCCTGGGTGGAGTAGGGAGAAGGAACCACTCAGCACCGATCGTGTGCCAGTCCTGGTGCCGCGTGCTACCTAAGCTGCATCTGTCCATGGAGCAGAGATTCCATTTCCATACGCGGGAAAACGGAGGTTCAGAGCAGTGAAGGAACTCATACAGCCATCCAGCTTGTCTGTGGCACAGCTCAGATTGGAACCCAGAAAATTCCAAACCCATGTGCCTGCCCTGGCAGCCTAGCTTCTCTGTGGGTTACGCTAACACTTCAGAGAGCGGCCCCTCTGCTGCACCCACTCACCAATGATCCATATGCTGCCTGTTCCCTTGTTCAAACCCCTCATTCCCTGACTCCAAACCTAGGAGAGCCTGCAGTTAGGCCATGGACCCATCAGATTCAACATTCCTCTCCTGGGAGCCACCCAGGTGAAGGGGAACCAGACAAACCTGGCTACAACCGGTTCCAATCCCAGCAACTCTGCCATTGGCTGTAGGATAGAAGTGTGGATAGCTGTGGCATACAGAAGGTGCTCTGTGAACGGCAGCCGCTTCATTATGACAATTTGGGGTCCCACAGTGAACGCCACACGGAAGCAAAGTTACTATACAGGAGGCAGCCTGATCCCCCTTCTCCAGCTCCCCGGGGGCGACGCTCTGAGCGTGGAGTGGCAGGTTCCTGACATCCGGGGCAATGCAACAGTTCAACTCTCAGGTGAGGGCTGCAGCCCCTGTGCTCCCAGATAATCTGCAGGGGTTTTCCTTTGCTTGGGGCAGGGACTCTGTTACCTTGGAACATAGCAGCTAGGAAGTGGGGGAGGACAGTGTTGCCAAGGGGATGGGGTTCCTGGCCTTCGGACCAGCACCCTTGAGCCCTTAGCCACACTGAGCTATGAGAGAGGCAGGCACAGTCATTGTGGCCTCCGCCGCCTCTCCCAGGAAAAGAAGGCATGATCCTGCTGAACATCAGCCTCCAGGAGTCTGGCGCTGGAGATGCCGTGCCCATCGTGTATGCCTCGCGTGACTCTGCCCTGGCGCTGGAGTCGTGCCTGCCGCAGCTCGCCACACACCCTGGACGCTGGGGAGTCTATTTGCACATAGTAGAGCCCACGGCCCTTCGGCCAGCCCTGGCCGTGCTGGCCCACCTCTCCAACCTCAATCGCCTCTCTCTGCCTGTGTGGGTGGGGGCCACAGTCTCCCATGGGAGCTTTGCAGTGCCTGGCTACATGCCCGGCAAGGAGCTGCTCACCGCTGTGGCTGAGGTTTTCCCCCACGTGACAGTGGCCCTGGGCTGGCCTCAGGAGGTACTGGGCAATGGCTATGAGGAGCAGCTGCTCACGGATATGCTGGAGCTGAGCAAGGGCCTCTGGCAGCCTGTGTCCTTCCAGCTCCATGCTGGGTCTCTGGGCCAGAGCACGGCTGGGGTGGTGGCCAGGTTACTGGCAGCCTCCCCCAGGGCCACCGTCACAGTGCAGCACAGCCCTTGGGCGGGCAGCTATACATCTGTGCGGAAAGGGCTGCTGGCGGCCAGGGCTGTGGACAAGACCCGGGTCTACTACGTGCTGCCCCGGAGTTATCGCGAAGACCTGCTGGCAGATGTTGGCAGAAACTGACCTCCCGGTGGTGCTGGACAGGAGGTCCCTGGGGCCAGGCTTCCCGTGGGGGAGGAGGGAGAAATAAACGCCCTGCCTTCCTCAGCGTGCTGCACATGTGTCTTGGGCGGGGTGGTGTGGGCGTGTGGTAGCTGCTGCGGTGCCTAGAGGGTCTGGAGGCTGGGCGCCAGATCATTTCGGTTGTCCAAAAGGAACTTCTCACAGGCCTTGAAGGTGTTGTAGAACTCCAAAGAGAGGCCGGCCACGTTGGTGGTCACATAATTGAGAAAGCCCGAGGTGGCCTGGTTGTAGTAGGACACCTGCAGGACAGGAAGCCACACTCAGGGGCGCTGGGCCTGAGCGGGAGGGCAGCAGCCTGGGGTCTTCAAAGGCTACGTGGCTGGCAGGCGTGGCCGCCTCAGGCAGTTCCCCTGGCCCCTCCCTCTGGGTACTGACAACCCTAGGGTCCCTGCCACCACACACTGTCCTGTCATCGGGTGGCTCCCTGCCAGCAGGGAGGCCCTGTGAGACAAGGAGCAGAGCCTAACACAGAATCCTGTTTCAGTGAAGGTCTATTAGGGCCTTAGAGACGAATGACAATTACGCCCAGAGATTGTCCTGAGAAGCTCATCAGGGAAGTGTGTTACAGGGCAAGTCTCAGGGCCCCCCTCCCCCCGCCACCCCCCCACACACCCTCACCCCCCACGGCTCTGGGCCAAGGAGGGCAGCTGCACAGACCCTCCCTCCTCGCTCTCAGCCCCTCCCCCACATTTCCAACACCGACTGCCCTGCTGAGTCAGGTGGGCCCTGAGAACCAGAGAAAGCCTTCCCAGACAAGAAAGCATATGCTAAATGCAGGCAGAGCTTTTCCCAAGACCCTGCAGGGGCCTCAGACTTTTCCGCACAGATTAGATTTTAACGAAGGCTCACTTCTGGCCCCTGACATGCTTAGGCCCGCCCCCGCCCCCCCCCCCCCCTCCAAGCTGGAAGAGCCCACTGTCGCGCAAGGGGTGGGAGCCCACGGCTGACAACTGTGAGCCGGGCAGTGCTGAGCTCCGTGCATGTGGGTTGGGGTGGCTCGAGTGGGGGAAGGAGTCACTTGGCCTCACCTTGGTCATCTGGTCCCCTTCGCGCCAGACGCAGAAGCCTGAGCAGAGGGTCTCCCCACGCCTATACTCTGGCGTCTCCGGGTGGGTGGGCAGCGTAACTGACCGTAGTGCAATGACATAGGGGTCCCTGCAGTGAAGGGAGGGGAGCACAGAAGAAGATGAGGGTTGTCTTGCCAGCCCAGGCTCTGGAACCCCCTCTGGCTCTGACCCAGCCTCTGGAGCTCCCCTAGGCACTGACACCAGAGTCTAAAGTCATGTAAACTCTTAGAGGGCCCATGTCTGGCTCTGGGCCAGGCTGGAGAGGAGGCACCTGTACGTTAACAGCCCTGGATTTGCCAGGAGCCAGCGGGACTCACTGCAGATTTTCTGGAAAAGCCCCTGAGGAAGCAGTGTGGGCTTTGGGATTTGTCCGCTTCCTCTTTCTGTGCCTGTCCAGCAGAAGTGAGCCGTCTGTCCGGCATCCTCACCAGGGCTGTCAGAGATGGCGGCCAAGGCAGTGCCTTGTGAGAAATGGCCTTGCCACCTCTGGGTCAGGGATTACCCTCCTTTAGAGGGAGCAACCAGAGGGGAGGGTGTTCCCTGTCCTCCATGGCAGCTCCGAAAAGCCAGGAGAAGGCAGAGAGCCAACTCTAACTGATGTCCACTCCCTGCCCTGCCCACCTCCCACCCAGCAGGCAGGCACCCACCCGTGGTCGCAAGGCTTCCGCCGAGAGGCCAGGATCACGAAGTCCTGGGGCTTGGGGTCAGTGCCGAGAATGGGGCTGATGACATGGTAGATGGCATCGTCCTCATCCACCTGCTGCACTAGTTCCACGTTCCTGTGAGGAGGCCCAGACCACAGGGCCCAAGAGGGTCACACCAGCTCCTTGTAGGAAAGCAGGTCTGGCCTCCCTGAGCCAATGCTTGGGGGACACTTCAGCCCCTACACACTTAGCAGGGCCCACAGGTGGGCAGAAAGGCCCGGCCAAGATGCATGCACGCACACACACGTATGCACACACACGTGGGTGCATGCATACACACGCACACAAATACACCTGCACAGACACACCCCTGTGGGCATAGCTGCATGCTCAGACACATGGATAGACACCTACCGTGCACACACAGACCCATGCGTGTCTGGACAGTCTGTGCAGGGCAGGTCCACGTGCTGACTCAGAGGTGTGCTGATTTCCTGGTTGTACTGAACATTTAGTGAGTATCCACTGTGTGCCAGGCACCACTCTAAGGGCTGCAGGTGTACCATGCATTTCGGCCCAGGTGGCAGGTACTCTTAGCAGCCCCTCTTCATAGGGGAAACAACCTGTCCACAGCCACAGAGCTAATAGAGAAGCGAAGCTGGAATGTGCCCAGCCATCGGGTGCCAGGCCTGTGCCCCTTAGCCTGGGTACACTGTACCCATGTGCCTGTACATACATGTAGGCTACCAAGGGTGGGAAATCTTTCTTCTGCCAAGGACCATGCGGATATTTATGACATCATTCACAAGCCACACAAAACTATCAACTTAAAAATTAGCCTGCTCTATTTGGTCAGACATTTCATTAACTCACCCTTAATGCCTTGGCAGGGCCAGAACAAATAATTTCGTGGACCTTATACAGCCCACAGGCCCGATGTTCCCCACCCCTGGCTTATACCAACACATGCACACATACTCACACATATGCACGCACACACACACACACACACACACACACGAGGACATCCACAGAGGTACACATGACCATGTCCAAACCTGTCACCTCCCCTGCTCCTCTGCCCTCCACAGAGGCTGTCTCAGGAGCAGGGTGGGGAGAAGCAGTGTGGGGTTCTCTTTCCCCTCAAGCTACTTCCTCCAAATCCCATCAAACAGCGAGATCTGACCTGGCCTTCAAGGCCCACCCCAGCCCACTTCCTACCATACAGCCAGCTTCCCCAGTGCCCACCAGCAAATCACCTCTCAGGCTTCTCGAACGGCACTGCCAGCAGGCCTTGGGTCACCTAGACCAGGGCTTTTTTTAAAGCAGCACCTCCCTTTTTGCAAAGAAATCTTAAGCAGAAAGCCCGTGTGTAAACAGCTGCAAGTGGACCTGCTCAAGTGAGGACACGTGGAGGTAGGAGGGAGAAGGCCAATTTATCAAAAATCAGATGGCCTGCTCACCGGATTTCTAAGAGCACAGGTCCTCCTTGTGGACAGACTCGGAAATAGAGGCTCCTCGTAAGAAGCCAGTGGAGAAATGATCAAGGAGGCGCCCCCCAAAGCAGGGTGTTGGCATAACAGACAATGATTTCACAGGCACTTGACAAAAACCACTTTCAACTTAACATTCATACTAAACACTGAAATCCTGGCTATTTATATCCATACCCAGATGTAGAGCTAACACACGGTAAATTCGGCAAATTGGCCATTCTACTAGTTGGCCTGAATTGGGGAGGGGGTCCCAGCCAGACTTTCAGCCTTCCATCCCCCACCCCAAGCAGTATCTGGAACTCTCTTGGGAACAGAAAACTCCACAGAACACAGATAGAAAATCACTGATCTATCCCTGAGGGTAAAGCTAAGACTCACCTCTGAAGCACACATTTTAAGAGGAAGAAAACTAAGCCCAGGAATGAAATGGAAATGACTTGCCCAAGGTCACACAGCTAGTTGGACCAGAAACAGGACCAGGCCCTCAACTTCAATTCCAGGCTCAGTCCTTCTCTGAAGGCTCAGAATGACCCTGACCCTGACTCCCACCTAACCCATGACTACAGTCCCCTACCCCCTCCACCCCAACTCCCCCCACCCCCACACCCCCCATACCCCAAACACCATAAAGGCCAGCCGGGCTGAGCATAATAAGGAATAGCTCAGCCGAAGGACACCTGAGGACCCGCCCTCCCCACCAGGCCTGAGACGGGAACTGGCCCCACCTGGGCCCTGGCCCTCACCGGTAATGCTTGTCCCACTCAGGCCTCCGACGCAGGTCTGAGAGTAGCAGGAAGGCGTGGGCCGCATCCACATTCACCAGCATCTCCATGTGGAAGGAGAGGTACTTGTCATCCTCCAGGGTGTACAGGCCGACCTGCGTGGGACAGAGGGTGGCCTCATTCGTGTATCCCCCTACCCAGACTATGCTGGGAGTGGGATGGGCTGACTGGGATGCTGGAGGCCAGGGCTAGAAGCTCAGCACTGCCTCTGACTTGCTGTGTGACTGCAATTAAGTGACTCAAGCTCTGTGAGCCTCAGTCACATCCCTATGAAAGTGGCTGTTGAGATAATTCAGCACAAGTGGACAGAAAGGTGTTTTAAGAAGCAGTGATTTGCCTGGCCAGCATGACTCAGTGGTTGAGCTTCAACCTATGAACCAGGAGGTCACGGTTCGATTCCCAGTCAGGCCACATGTCCAGGTTGCAGGCTTGACCTCCAGTGGGGGATGTGCAGGAGGCAGCTGATCAATGATTCTCATCATTGATGTTTCTATCTCTCTCTCCCTCTCCTTTCCTCTCTAAAATCAATATATATATATTTTAAATCCCCTTCTGCCCTGGCCGGTGTTTCTCAGTAGTCAGAGTGTCACCCTGCGAACCGTAGGGCCTTGGGTTCAATTCCCGGTCAAGGGCACATATCTCAGTTGTGGGTTCCCTCCCTGGCCCCAGTCCTAGCACGTCCAGGAGGCAACCAATTAGTGTGTCTCTCTTACATCGATGTTTCTCTCTCTCCCTCATTCCTTCCACTCTCTCTCAATGAAAAAAATATCCTCGGGCGAGGATTAACAAAAACAAAAAGCAAAAAAAGAAATGCCCTTCTGACAGGAGTGAGTTGAGAGACTTTCTGTTGCTTGCAGCCTGCCACCTCTGGCTGCTCAGAAGAGAATGGTGGGTGGGTGCGGTCAGCTACCTGGTTGATCTCCGAGGACAGCGCCCAGTTGTCCTTGGCCGCAAGCATCTTCAGGGAGGAGATGTTGTTGTAGCTCAGATACACCTGGACAGGGCACACAGAGAAACCTCGCCTTCTCCCCTCCCGCAGGCTCGGTGCCGAGGCCATGCTGGGGCGGGGGAGGAGCAGGGGTGGTGAAGGAGGGTGGGTGCTGGGCTTTGGTGGTGAAGGAGGGTGGGCGCCAGACTCGACCAGCAACCCTGGACAAGCCACTCCTCCTCTCAGGGCCTCAGCTCCCTCCTGCCAAGCAGGGACATCAGGAGAGCCCTTTGCTAACTGTATGCATCTTGAGGCATTAGCATCCTGTCCCCTTCAGGCCTACCTCCAACCCCACTCTGACAACGGGACGGGTGGGCCTGAGGACTCTCCCCTCAGAGCTGGGGCCTTACCTGGTTGCTAGGGTCCCAGGGCACAGAGAGAGGCATCTCCTCCTGCTTGCAGGACACAATGTACTTCCTGGGAGAGAGGAAAGGTGACAACCTTGATCCCTCGGGAGCCCATCTCTTTGAACAGGCTTCACCGCATGCCAACTGTGTGCCAGGCCCTGTGCTCAGCCCAGAGGGCAGGAGAGACCACTGTCTGGCCAGGAAGACGGGATGGGCACACAGAACACAGCAGCGAGAACATACAAACTCAGTCAGAGGTAGGACAGGACGAGGGGAGGGGTGCCGGTGCCTAGTGAAGGCTCAGTGCCCCACACCCTGGCTGAGCTAAAGCGACTTCACCACTATGCCTCGGTGTCCTCATCTGTGAAATGGGATCTGCAGTCACCCCTGCCTCAGAGGCTCATCACAAGAACCGCCTTGGCATATAAATGCTCCATAAACACACACTTTTCTTACTAACAACAAATGATGATACAGTGCCTCCTTGAGCCATCGCTTCTCCTCTCTGGGCCTTTCTTTCTTCATGTGCCAAATGGACATCAGAGTCCATGGAAGGAACAAAAGATTTTAAATTGGCCAGACCCGGCCAGGTTCAAATTCTCACTCTGCCCATCACTCCTGTGTGCCCGTGGCCACAATTCCTCTGTTCTCAGTGTCCTCGCCTGTACAATGGGCCAGTCAGACATGGGATGTGGAATGAGGTGACACGGATGTAAAGGGCCCAGCTAGTGCCCAGCACAGGGGCCGCATCGAAGAAATGCAAGTCCCTGAGGCCGGGGAGCAGGTGGACAGCCCTGCACCCTGTGTCCCCTCCCACCACCCAGCCCCAACTTGCCTGTCCAGGCGGATCTTCCTCCTGGCACTGGCCTCTCGGTACCGCCGCTCACCGTCCTGGGGAGAGAAGCAGGGACAGACTATGGTACAGATGGGAAAACAACTTGCCCCCCATCCCTGTTACTGTCTGACCACGGCCCCCCCTCCCAAGGGCCCAAGGAGGTCCTGCAGCCCTGAGGTGTTCTGGCCCCACTGGGGCAGCCAGAGTCAAAGCAACCTGAACAGGAACACGCCAGGTCACTGAGCCCCAGCTTCCCCTCAAGCTCTCCGAGTGGCCCTGGGAACCACTGCCCTCACCAGACCTCAGTTTCCTCCCCAGTAGAATGGGATCCCTAAGGGCACTTACAATGGTAATAAGAACCCATATTTATTGAGCACTTACTACGTGCCAGGCATTCAGCTAAAGTGCTTTCCATGCAAAATTTCATTTAATCCTTACAGCAACCCTCTGAGGTTGGGACTAGTATAATCCCACTTTACAGAGGGGGAAACTGAGGCACAGAAAGATTAGGGGACTTGCCCAAGGACACAGGAACAAGCACTGACGGGCTGACTCAGAGCCTGACTCTTAACTTCTACTTCTAAGGTGTCCTCACTCGGGAGCATTAAACGGCAAAGGCCTGAAAGCATCTGGGGGCCTGTGCACTGCATCGCCCATCTCCTAGGCTCCCACTCCTCCACGGACCACCCACTCTCGACTGGCCAATACCCAGCTACGAGCAGGGAATGCCACAGCCAGGCTCAGCCTTGTGAGGCAGGCAGGACAGGGACCTTCCCAGGGAGAGCTCACTCCCTGATCCTCTAGAGCAAGCCAGGCCTAGCCCAGTGGAGGCACAAGGGAGCATGACTTGAAAGGACAGCCTTTGAATCCAGGCCCTGATTCTCCTTCCTGCCTCCTTGCTCTCCTGTCACCATCGTCATCACCGTCAGCACTTCCTGAGTGTCTGCAGGCCTGACCCAGGCACGGGGTCAATATCCCATAGACCCCACAGCCCCGTGAGGACTGGGCTGCAGGCGCACCGCTTTGCGGGTGGGGACCCAGAGCTCAGAGAGGCACCCCCTAGAATGTAGCAGAGCTGGTTCCAACACACGTCGCCCCAAAGCCAGTGCTCTTCCAACGCTGTTAACACCCACGATGAGCCAGTCCCACATGCACGGCCTGAATTCTTTCAGGCAGAACAAGGTTTCCACCTGGCACAAGGGGCATTTCCAGGGGCCACACAAGGGCACCCAGCAGACGGGCAAAGCGGGGCTTGTTGCTCTCGGGCCTATCAGGAGCTGGCAGGCACCCCCACCCTGGGCAGAGAAGGGAGAGGGAGCTGGGGGGAGGGCAGGGTGCTGCACCCACTCACCCCAGGCTGGGGCCGAATCCAGGGCAGCATCTGGGGCTGGTCATTTGGGTCCAGGACCACAAAGGTCATGAAGGCGCTGTTGATGTGCCGCCGATGGGCCTCGGCCTCCTGGCGGTAGGCCTCCACGCACACGCCCACCTCCATGCTGAGGGCGAGGGAGGGCTGCTCTCATGCTGGACAGACCTTCCCACGGCCTCGCCCTTCCCAACACACATGCACACATGCATGTGCAGGCACACACATGCACTCCTGCAGTTCCTCCTGGGTCAGAGCCCCTCTGGCAGGAAACCCAGAGCTGCTCCCTTTGGTCAGTGTCTGCAGAGCACCTACTGCGTGCTTGGGCCTATGCCAGTCACTGGGGACTCAGAAATGAACAAACCTGTCCGGTCCATGTCCTCATGGACTAATAGCTGGGGGTTGCAGCCACAAATATATACATATGATGATAGTATGTTATGAAACTATGTTATGGAAGAATACAGGCAAGGAGAGGGAGGTGCTGAGCCCAATTAGAAATAGTGTTCATTATACACCCAATCGTCAGCACTTTATAACAGCTCAGTGGCTGCTGTTTCTCTATATCTGTCTTTAATAATTATAAAATAGCAGCCACCGCCATCCCCCTCAGTTAAGGTCTTGACCCCATAATGTAGACATCATACAGAGGGGGACACTAAGACCTAGAACAGGGCAGTAAGTAAAGTCACACAACAGTCAGGAGAGAATGTGGGCTAGAAACCAGGCCTCACAGCTTTCCCCCTGCATGGCAGCAGAATATGTGCTGGTCAGGCTGTGAATAATAATAATAATAATAATAATAATAGCATCAGCAGCAATGGCTGACCTTCACTAAACATGTTCTGTGGCGTTCTACTAGTAACAGGTCATTGAATCCTTAAAACTATAAGATAGTTGTGGTGAGCCCCATTTTATATGAACTGGAGCTCAGAGAGGTTAAGTAACTTGCCCAAAGTCACACAGCTAGTAAGAGGTGAGCCAAACTTGAACCTAGGCAGCCTGGCTCCAGAGCCTTTGCTTTTATGGACTATACTACATGATTTTTGGAATCACCAAAAAAGATATTTAAAATAAGCTTTCATGGGTGTAGATGTCAGGATTCATTTCAAAGGTAAGGGCTCTGGGGACTAAGTTTCGTTTTGGGCAAAGGGTGGGAAAAGGTATGATGACAACAGAATACTGGCAAAAGGTGGCCCTGTGATCCACAGTGTGCAGGCCTGGAGGCAGGAGGCAGGGAGAGAGAGACAGAATGATCACGTGGTACTATCCGAGACAGCAGGAGACACAGGGCTGGGGCGCCCAGAGCAGGGAACATAGAGCTGAATCTTGATGAAGGTGAAAGGACTGAGCAGGTTTGCAATAGAGTCCGTTCTCAGGTCAGGAAGAGCCCTCAGCCCCCAGGGACCCCGATCCTGCCCATCCCAGCCCCTCACCTATGTTTGAAGGCGTTGTTCACAATGGCCTTGAGCACCAGGCGGTCCCCAACCTGGGAGGGTCCCCGGAAGTGAAACATCTCAATGGCCTTCAGCGTAGGGTGGGCACGACACAGCCGGCTGGAGGAGGCCAAGGGTTGGGGACAGGAGAAATGCCCCTAGTGCTTTAGCCACTGGCTTAAACCAGCCTCTACCCCTACCCCCATCCCCAGACCTAGCCAAAACCACATGCACCACCTTCAGGCCCACCCACTCCACTCAGTGACAGTTCTGCCCAGAGGAACAGAACTGAGTCCCATTTCAGAGCTTCGAGTACTGAGGTCTATGTGCATGGCTAGGGAGCAGCTGAGTCTGAGGTGACAGAAGAAAGCCTAGGGCAGGGCTTGGGGCAATCCAACCAAGCCCTTCCAACCTTTGTATCTTAGCACCTGCTGTCCCTACTACCTGGAAGTCCTCCCCTTATCCAAAGCTACTTCTCATTCAAAGCCCAGCTGAAGTGCTCTTCCTCCAGGAAGCCTTCCCGGACTATCCAGACTCTGACTTTTCTCTGCGATCTTATTGCACTCATAGGGCACTGCTGATATATTGTGGCTAAGGGACGGAGGGAAGAAAGGAAGGGAGGTACAAGCAGTACACTCTCCCTTCACCTGGCTGCAATGGTGGCCACATTCTCCATCCAGGCCATGATCTGGCCCCCGAAGGTATTGCCCTGGTGATTGGCGTGGGGAGGCAGAACCAGCTCCACACTCTCCACCCGCGTCTTCTCGGCCGGCACCACATGGCTGCAGTCTCTGCTCTCCAGATCTGACCAAGGAGGGGCAGAGGGAGGGAGGGGGGAGGTGAGAGGCTTTCCAAGGGCAGCCCAGGACCCCTCCACCACCTCTCTGCCCCACCCACATTCTTTTATTTACTCAGCACCTAGTGTGCTGGACCTACTGAGAAATGGGGGGAAACTGGATGAGAGAGATGAGGCTGGCACCGAGCAAAGGGCAGAACACTAGCTTTGAGACAACACACACCTGGGTCTGCAACTCAGCTCCACCCCATACAGGCTGTATTTCCTTGGGCAAGTCAATGCCCTTTCTGAACCTCAATTTCCCACGTGTAAAGGGCAGACGTCAAACTCAACCGGAAAGGACAGTGAAGATGAAATGCGATCTCCGCTCTACAGTGCCTGGCGCCAAACTCAGGAGGCACGCTCTCAAGAAAGAGTTCTTCCCTCCCGCTGCCTGACATGCGCTGTCCCTCAGGGGGCATAAGGATAGCCTCAGTAGGGGAGGCCAGAGAGGTCAGGGAATCGGATGCTGACGTGCCCACCCAACCCAAGGAAGCACCATCTCCCAGGGAGAAAGACCTCACCGGGAAGGACCCATCAAATAGGCAACATTTTGCATAGCTTGCAGGCTGCTCAGATGCCACAGACACAGGGAGGGGAGGTTACAGGCCTGAGCCACGGTCTGGAGGCAGACAGTCACGGGGAGAATCAGGCCTTGGCTCAGCTGGAGCAGAGGGCAAGTACGGGACAGCGCCAGACAAGGCTGAGCAGTCAGCCAAGGGCCTGGAGGCCGGCTAGGGCATCTGGACTGACCCTTGGGCAGGAGGGATTTCGGAGGGCTGCAGTGGGATGGATGGCTCCAGGGGGCCTTGGCTACAGGAGGGAGAGCTGGACCTGCCCAGCCACAGCCCCCAGGCCCAGAGTAAATAGGGCGCACGGAATTCGAAGCACAGCCAGCTGCTTTCACAGGGGGCTGTGGGGGGGCTAATTCTGCCTGCACCCCTCCCCACTCTGGCAGCTGAACTATTTTCGACTTGTCCTAAAATCGCCTCCTTGAAGTTTCAAGGAAGGCTCCACATCCTAATGTTCTGGGGATCAGTGAGCAAATCCAAGGTCACCCCTCTGACCCTTTGCCCAGACTATGCCCTCCACCAGGAGTCCCTTTCCTTATCTCCCCCTGATAAGCCCTGCCAGTCCACAGGAGATGTGAGGCCCTGGTACAGAACAAGCTGCAAGATGCACTTGAAGGGGGAAGAAGCGAGATACAGAACAGTATGTACTGTGTCTTCCCGTTTAGGTAAAAAAAGGGGGCAAAATTAGACACAGAGGGGAATGTGCAGGGAATGCTTCTGGAAAGATGCCCAAAAATGAGGCACAGGAGGTGCCTCTGGAGGGGACCTGGGTTCTGGGGTAGGCGGGTCTTGTTTTTATCTCTAGCTCTAGATCTATGCCTACACCGATGCCTACATCTATATCTACCTACCAACCTACCTACCTATATGCTTTTTAAAAATCCTAGAGTCATGCCCTAGCCAGTTTGGCTCAGTGGATACAGGTAGGCCTGCGGACTGAAGGGTCCTGGGTTCAATTCCTGTCAAGGGCACATGCCCGGATTGCAGACTCTGTCCCCAGTAGGGAGCATGCATTAGGCAGCTGATCAATGATTCCTTCTCATCATTGATATTTCTCTCTCTCTTCCCCTCTCCCTTCCTCTCTGAAATCAATAAAAATATATTTTTTTAAAAATCCTTGAGTCTTCAAGGCCAAGCTCAATACTGCCTTCCCAAATACCTTAAGTCCTAGAGACCCAAACACAGTTTGTGGCTAACAAAACGTTTTCCTCTGGCTGCTGGGAGCTGGGCAAGAGGCACTCCCTTTTCCCTGAAGGAGGCCTTGAGGCAAGAGGGCCAGCCAGGCCTGAGGCCACCAGTGGGTAGACATCCCAAGGAAATGCCTCTCCTCCCTCTGCCCAGTGGGGCCCAGGGCACAAGGGGGGCACCTGCTGCCCTCCCTGTCCCCAGCCTCTCACCATACTGCATGGCGCAGTTGGCCAGGAGGTCCTTGATGGTGTCCGCGTAGACCAGCCGCATGCGTCGGCGCTCGGCGGCCACACTGTGCTCAGTCTTCTCCTCCTCCGTCCGTGGCGAGATCTGCTTCAGCTTCACCTGTGGGCAGGGGTGGGGTTCCCTGAAATAGTGCCAGGGCCTGTCCCCGCAGCTGCCATCACACGCCCGGGGCTGCTGGATGGTTATAAGTCTTTGTCCCTCTTTGCCCACATTTTCCTGTCTCCATGTTGACTGATCCATCATCTTCATCCTCCAATAACCCTAGGCTCCCTTCTGGGGCAAAGGCACAGTGGATGGGGGTAGGGGTCACTGCAGGGCGTGAAAGAGGATGGTGAGACCTGAAGACTCCCCATGTGAGATGCACAGGGAGAGGTGGGGAAAGGAGAGAGGGAGGGCGCCTGGGGCCCGGTGGCAGTGGGGGATGGGCCTTCCTCTAGGGGCTATGATTCCCTGCCACACCCCACCTCCACTCCCCTGCCAAACCCCAGCCTCACCACCCTGGTCCAGGCCCATCGTGACTGGCAGCCAGGTGTGGCCACCTACCTTGGAGAGCTCACGGTGGGCCACAAAGGTGGCCAAGGCCTTGCACACGTTCCACTGCTTCTCAGAGCAAGTGTCCTCGGAGGCCACCTGGATGCCCACCTGGAGGGGAAGAGTAGGAGGAGGAGTGAGGAAGGAAGAAATAGAGCTCGCAAACCCGAGGCCCACAACCTCGTGACACAGGAAGTCCCCCTCTGCTATTTCAGTATCACCCACCAAGTCTAGGAGGCTAGGGACCTGGGGTAGGTTCTGATTCTGCCCCTGGTTCCCTGGGAAACTTTAGGCAAGTCACTTCCCTTCTCTGGGCCTCAGTTTCCTCATCTGTAAAGTGGGGATGACCAAACCCACCCTCGAAGGGCTATTGAGAGGATTAGCATGAGACTGTGTAAGTAAAGTGCTGGCTAAATTGAAAGGGTAGACATGTGAGGGTGCCCAGGGACCCTGTGCATTTATGGGGTGCCGCTATCTCAGCCTCAGTAGTCTCTCAGCAACCACTGGGTGGAAGTTGTCTCCATCCTACGTCCATTGGTGGCAAATAGAATCTCTTCCCCAGAGCTCACGGAGCCTGTGCTTCACCACGAGTCCTTCAACAGCCCTGAGGCACAGAAATCATGCTCCCACTTTACAGATGGGAAGACAGAGTCATGGCACGTAAGCTACAGGACTGAAGTCCAGTGCTATCCCGGCTCCAGCCCCACTGCCTCCAGGTGGCTGTCATCCTCAAATTTGCACAGCCACCAAGCTGCTGAAGACAGGGTCTGAGTCTCGGCGTGAAGACCCAGGAGGCCAGAAGTTAAGTCCCACATTGGGATCTATGTGGCTTGGTGACCTGGTGCAAATCCCTTTCCCTCCCTGGGCCTCAGTTTTCCCTTCTGTGTTATGGGGTGTTGAACCGGAAGATCCTTAGCCTGCCCAGCCCTGCCAGCTGGTCCAGATCTCTGCCGCCTCAAGCAGGGCTTTGCGAGTGTATGCCTGGGCTGGGGGCGGAGATGGAGAGGAGGCAGAAAACCCACCCAGCACCCACGCATCCCCAGGCAGCACCTGCCCCACACACCTCCATGCTGGTGTTGAAGGCCCGGTTCACCTTGGCCTTGATATTCACCACTTGTCCGACTCTGGGAGAGAAAAGCCGGAGGTGAGCCTTTCAGAGGGGACAGAGGGAGGGAGCAGGGGCCCCAGACACTTGGAGAGCCTCTACTGAGGGGAGCTGTTAGGAGAATGTTACTTTACAGCGCGTATTCACATATGGATGTCAACTGAGTCCTCAAAGCAAGCCAGCAAGATAGTGCTAGCACCCCTTTCCCAGGAGGCTGAGAGAAGGGGGATGATTGCATTTATCTGCCCCCCTCCCCCACTCCTCCTTGTCCAGTGAAGGCTCGAGCTTCTTTTTGCTCCTGTTGACCGGTCCCCTCTCCAGGGAGCACTCCCTGCACCCTGTCGCTCTGTAAGGTCCACCTTCCTAACACTTCTTCCAGCAGGTCGACCTCACAACCTATCAGCTCCACTGGGGCAAGGCTTGGCACAGGGCACCGGGCAGCTCCTCCACAATTAGTGGCCTACTAAATGAATCTGTTCCGCATTTATTGCATCCGTATCGGTTCATCAATTGTGACAAAGGTACCCCTACATGAATGTAAAATGTTAATGGAGGAACTGGATGTGGGGTATATGGGGACTCTCTGTACTATCTACAACCAGAGTGTACATCAAAAACTAATCTACAATCGGCCTCCCTGCAGTCTGGGAGCTACTGGGCACCGGGACCTTCTGTACCACAAACCCAGCATGGGCCCTGGCCCAGAAAAGTGCCAGTAGTGATGAATGACTGAACAATGAATACAGCAACTGGCCGAACTTCTTCCTTAACCACAGCACTCTGGGCACCAAGGAAGCCCTGAGAAAGCCCTTGGCACTCGATGTCCTAGGCCCGTGGTTGGCAAACTGCGGCTCGCGAGCCACATGCGGCTCTTTGGCCCCTTGAGTGTGGCTCTTCCTAAGCCTTAGAAGTACCCTAATTAAGTTAATAACAATGTACCTACCTATATAGTTTAAGTTTAAAAAATTTGGCCCTCAAAAGAAATTTCAGTCGTTGTACTGTTGATATTTGGCTCTGTTGACTAATGAGTTTGCCGACCACTGGCCTAGGCAATGGTGGAGAGTTCAGGAGCAGGCCCACAGGCCAGAGCACTGTCGCAGTCCCTACAGCCTGGCCTGAGCTGGGGGCCTGGTATGGCCCTTGGGTCCCAGCAAAGCTCTGCAGAAACAAAGCCCAACACAGTGTAATGAAGACTTTCTAACCAGTACAGCTCACTGTGAGGTAGTGAGCGCCTCGTCTCTGGAGGTATGTGAGCAGAGACTGAATGACCCAAGATTCTGGCTCAGGCTTTGCCAAGGTACCTTATCTAGGAACCCCCCACCAACCAGCAACCCATGACCCACAGAGAATGTACAAGTTCCAAAAGGCATTCATTGATTAAGTCTAATCCCTCCCATCTGCAGATAAGGAAACTGAGGCCCAGAGAAAATGTCTGACTTCCCCAAAGTCACATTGCACCCCATGGTGTTGCCTGGGCAACATCCAACTCCAAACTTGAAGCAACTTCCTTGGCTCCCACTGGCTGAGGGAACCCACCCCACGGCAACTAGCAGCAAGCCAGCTCCCAGCCCAGCGCTGTCCAGAGACACTGCAGACGGGTCACTGCTTCTGGGGGGCTTCCCCCACTCCACCTGCCAAGGCTGGCAGGTTCCAGGCAGGAGAGGCAGGGGAGGGGTCCCCAGGCCTTGGTGGGGAGCCCAGAAGGACCTAGCGGCAGCTGGGGCCACTCACCTAATGGTGTGCTCAAAATAGATGTCATCCATGGAGGCCGTGACGCAGGGACAGCCAGCATGCCTCTCCGCTGGCACCGGGAGAAGAAAGCCGTGCGTTAGCAGCCTCCCATGTTACGCAGGCCTCTGATCAAATGTCAGACCCCCGAGCTCAGGCCGTGCCTCCTCACCCACAGCCTTCTTTATTTTTCCTCAAAGTTGCCGCCCCCTGCTTCATATATCGGAGTTTTGTCTGTCTAGTATCTCTCTCTTCTGTTCAACTGCAAGTTGCTTGAGGGCGAGGATTTTTGCCTGCCTAGCTCATAGGCGTATCCCAGTCCCAGAAGAGTGTCTGGCACATAGTAGACACTCAACAAGCAGCTATTGAATAAATGAATGGTCACACCATACTATGCTAGCTCCCGGCCTTGTAAAGTGCACTTAGGTCTGCCCAGTCTACTTCATGCATCTTTGTTTGCTGAGTCTTTCCTTCAGGACCCTGCTCACTGCCTTAGTCCCTCTAGAGTCCCTTCTCTGTCCCCAGGGCTGGGTCACGGCCTCTGGTCTGTCCTCCCTCCCCTTCCCAGTCCCCACAAAACAGTGCTGGAGCAGTTGGGTCACCTGTGTCCCCCCCCTCCCCCCCCCCATCAGACTGTGAGCTTCCTGTGGGTTGGAGAATACTGGGACATCAAAGGAATGACGAAAAGTCAACTCAACTCCTCAACTTAATGTAGGGAGCCCTTTAAGGCAGACAGCACGGTGCTTGCTCACAGCACTCCTGAGCCAGCCCTGGAGCAGCCGCGTTGAAGGCAGCGCTGTGTTGGAGCAGAGACCTAAGGGCACTTAGAACTCGGACCTCTGGGGAGAGGGTGGGCCAGAGCTGAGCATCAGGAAATTGGAGGGCATTGCAGGCAGGCCAGCTGGGATGAGGGACGAGGGTGGAACAGACGTCTCAGCATAACTGAGGCCTCTCCCCCAGGGGTGGGCCAGGGGGTGGGAGGATGGCAGTCTCACCAGACAGGCAGGCCGTGGTGTCAATCCACTTGAGCAGCTGCCCGACGCTCAGCTCGCCACGCTGATTGGTGTGGCAGGGCAGCACCAGCTGGCTCATCTGCACCTCGGTGGGGTTCCGGTACTCCTCGCCATCTGCCATGGTTTTCTCTGTGCGGGAGGTTGACTTCCGGGACTGACGGCCCGAGAACACGGAGGCGAAGCTCTGGGGAACAGGTGGGACCAGAGAGGTCAGCTCACTGCAGGGTCCCCTGAGTCTGCCCATCCCTGAGACCTGAGGACTAGAGGGAGAGGAGAGAGCGCCCCAGGGCCACCTCCCTCCAGACCCCAACTCCAAGAGTGGTCACCGCCCTCCAGCCCAGAGCTCAGACCCAGGGTGTCACTCTGGCTCAGGTTCCTTTTAGCCAACATCTCCACGTTAACACGGCCTGGGACCCGAGGAACGGGGAGGGGAGAAAGGAATCGTGCAGGGAACTCAGTTCTCCGAACTTCAGTTTGAGGGTTTGCTTTTTAAAGTTTTGCTTCTGATTGGCCTTCATGCCCGAAAGATGTCCCCTCTCTGTGCAGAGGCCCCAAGAGCCCCTCGCAGGCAAGCCTGGGGATTTGTTCCCAATGAAGTGCTTCAAGAAGCAGGTCCTATTTCATCCCCCAAAGGTCCCTTCCCCGGGCTTCTTGCTCTGCAGTTGACACCTCTGCTGGGTGCTCATTTGTCTTTAGCACTTAGCTCTCCTGGCTGGGAGGGCTCTGGGCAGTGCCTGAGCAGCTGTGTGATCCAGGCAGCTGCCAGCTGGAGAACCAGCTGAGAAAAGCCTCAAACTCATGAATTAGAGGTGGAGTTTCTGCCCAGGGCCCAGCTTTTCTTAGTCCCCGGGCAGAAGAGGTGGCGAGTGCAGTCCCTTGGATGGGGTGGGACGGAGGAGGAGGTGGAGTCGACCCGCCATCCCTTCTCTCCCTAATCGGACTGTGAACAAGAGCCGGGCAAACCTGCATGTGTGAGAAAACTGACAGGAGGGGCAGGAGGAGTTCCAGTTCTCATGGCCAATGCCAACTGCGGGGTGACAGCTGACGCCAACATATACACAGCACTTATTAGAAATCAAGCGCGCTTCTAAGCACGTCCCTTTGCTAATTAAAGTGTACCCACACAACAAAACTCTGAGGTAGGTTCAAGATTATCCTCACTTCACAGTGGGGGAAACTGAGGCCCAAGTAAGTGGCAAAGCTTAGCTGTGACCCCAGAGGTCTGGCTGCAGTCTGAGGCCCCACCCATCACACTGCACTGCCTGCAGGGGCTCCTGGGCCCAGATGAGAAGGAAGTCAGAGCTCTGGGCCTGAATTCAGCAGCAAAGAGTGATACGACCCCGAGGCTGACCCTGCCACTGCTCAGATGGGGGCAGCGACATCTCAGGGCAGTGATGGTCCTTGTACGGGGGGAGGGGCACTCCTTGGATAGTTCCACCCATGAGGCTCTGTAGCTAATTCACTACGTTCAAAACACACCGATGTGACTGATTCAAGGTCGCTGACTTGTAAATGGAACATCTGGGATTTGAACAGGGCCCATCTAAACCAAAACAGCTTGTAGGTCCCCAGAGCGGCCCTGGGTACCACATACAGTGCTGGGCACTGAGGGGAGAGAGAGGAGGGCAGCCGATCCAGGAGCTCTCAGTGCGGGCGGAAGCCTTCAAGGTGCCAGGCTGCCAGGCTTGCAGAATCTTGCAGGCATCTCACAGGCCTTGTGGTCTAAGCAGGGCTATCACCATGGTAACCACTGCCAAGGCACTTCCAGCCTAGTGTGCACTGGGGGCCTGCATGGATGTGGATGCGGGTGGCTGCCTTTCTGAGTGTGGGAGATGGGAGAGGGAGGAAGCAGGCAGACTGTTCACCTACTCTTCCCAACCCCCTCCCTCAGCCAGGGGTCCTGGCCAGAACATTCCAGCAAGAAGCCTGGAGAAAGCTAGGGAAATGGAGGTGGGGGGTGGGGGGGCAAGATGCACAGGGTAAGCGGGAAGAAAGGGGGCAGACGCGTGGGTTTCTGAGCGGTTCCGGGCATGCACACACAATGTCCCAGCTTCACAAGCCTATTCTCACACCCACCGCCTCCCTGGATCCTCACAAGGAAGGCAGACCCCATTTTTACAGCTGAGGAAAGTGAGGACGGGAAAAGATCTAGACCAGGACACCTGAGTTCTAATCTTCTCTCTGCTTCTCACCTGGTCAATCCCCATCCCCACCAGCCTCCTATTTCCTGTTCTATGTAAAGGAGTCCCTACTTTCCCAATGGACTCTTCATGCCTGAAGGCAGGATCTTTGCCTCATTCATTCATTCATTCATTCACCAAGCATCTCCTTTCTCTGCACTAGGCCCTGGGCCAAACACTGAGAATGCAAAGGTAAGTCGGGCCAATCCCTTTGAGAAGCTCTGCTCTAGTGCTCGTGTCTAGAAGGGCCTGGCACGCAGTAGGACCTCATCAAAGGTTTGTGGAGGGACAAGCAGAGACAGACTGGAGTTTAACTATATATATGTTGATTTCAGAGAGGAAAGGAGAGGGAGACTGAGATAGAAACATCAATGAGGAGAATCATTGATCGGCTGCCTCTTGCACGCCCCCTACTGGGGATTGAGCCCACAACCCAGGCATGTGCCCTTGACTGGAATCAAACTTGGGACTCCTCAGTCTGCAGGCCAACTCTTTATCCACTGAGCCAAACCAGCTAGGGCCGGACCTGAGTTTAAATCCTAGCCCTGTCCCTCAGGTGCTATGTGATCCTGAGCAAGCCCCCCTCCTCCTGAACCTCATCTCTCACTCACAAGGTGGGCAGGGGCAGTGGGAGATTGCCAACCCCCAAGGTATCCCCAGCCCTGGTTCCAGGATTCTGGGGTTTAACCCTGGCATGCTGAGCTGAGATTTCCAGTGAGGAAGCTAAGGAGCCCGGTGACCTGTCAGACAGGAAATACTGAGCTCCTCCCAGCAGCGCTGAGCTCCCACCTCCCCACCCCTGCAGGCTGTGGGACAAGCCCCACTATGGCTCTCCCCACGCCCCTCAGAGAGAGGCATGCAGAGCCCTGGTCCGTGGCACCAGCAAAAGGGACAGAGCAGCAGTGGCCCAGGACATGGCCTCTCAGACTCCAACTCCTTCCTTGGCTCTAAGACAGCCTGCCCACGTCAGGCCAGGCCAGGCCTCCTTCTTGTCCCAGGGTGGGCAGGCAGCCAGCCGGGGCGCAAGAGGCTTGGCCAATGGGGCTCTAGAGCTGGGACACTCCTCCCAGGGCCAGTCACAGAGAGCACAGAGGCCCTGGATGGAGCAGGTCCTGGGGCGGCCAGGGTGGCTGAGCCAAGACAGCTGACAGGGAGGGCAGAGCCCACTCCACAGATGGGGTCATGGGGTCAGAGACATGCCCTCTCAGAAGGCAGCCGTGCCAGGCTCTGGCCCCACACACAGCAGGACCGGCCAGGTTTGATACTGCCAGACTAGGCCTCACCTGGCTACACCAGGGTCCTGTGTCCCTCCTCCTGGGCCATCCATGTCACAGACCTGCTGATCAGAGCAGGAGAAGCCCCCTCGTCCAATCCCTTCATTGATGGGGACACTGAGGCACAGGAAAGAAAGGCTGGTCCGGGGTCACACAGCTGGGGAGCCAGGAAGAGCCCTCCTGGGACGCAGAGGGGCTCCTTCAAGGCAGTTCGACCGCAGCCCCACGCTCACACACCTGACCTGGATTTCCTCCCTCCCCCACTGAGCCAAGTAACGGGGATCCAACCCCGGACGCTCTCAGCCTGCCCCACCGCCCTCGGGCTTGGGGGCCCACACTGGGGCTTGCTGGATGTTTCCAGAGCCTGTTCACAGGCCTCCCGACTCCACCTCCTTCTGGCCTCCAGCACCTGCCCTCCCAGAACAACCCCAGGAGGTTCCTCAGAGCACCACCCTCATCCTCCTCCATCCTCTGCCACGCGGGGCTGCTCCTGCCCAGGTTCCCTCTATCTGCCCTATCTCCCAGGTGAGTCCTTCCTCCTCCTTCTTCAAGTTCCCCCATCCCTGCCTCTTCCCCAGGGCATTAGGTCCCCCCAGCCCCCACAGCCTCACCGGCCTCCATCACAGTGAAGCTGTGCAGTCACTGTATTCCTAGACGCTTCTCCCGCCAGACAGTCATTCCCGCCAGACAGGGACAATTCAGCCTCACAGAGCAGGTGCTGAATAAACACCTACGGAAGAGGCTGGTGACAGGGGCTGAGACTTGAGGACAGGAAGGTCGCAGGTGCAGAGAGGACGTGCAGACAGCACAAAGGGCAAGCAGGAACAGTGGTGCCTCGGGTGATGCGAACTGCGTGGCAAAGGAAAGCCTGGGGTCAAGTACTAGGTACTTGTGTGGGTAGAGACAGAGGGAAAGGAGCCAGGGAGTCCCTACAGCGACTGCCCAGAAAAGGCGACAGCCAGCAGAGAGCTCAGTGCTGCAGGGACAGCAGAGGAGAGAGGAGAGAGCTTGGTGCTGTAGGAACCACCAGGAACAGCAGGGCAGGGCAGGGGAGGCCTTGAAGCTGACCTGGCCAGGGTTCAAATCTGGTTCCACAAGGAACTTGTATGACCTCAGGGCAAGCTGCTCTGTGGGCCTTAGTTTCATCTGTAAAAAATGGGGTAATAGTGCCTACCTCCAGGGGTCATCCTAAGGATGAAACTAAATGAGATCAGGGGTTTAAAGTTCCTCGGACATGTCGGCCATATGGCTAACATTTGTTGAACATGTACTGTCAGTATTTAAAGCTGAGGTCGGACTTCCTACAGAAACATAGCTGGGAAAGGCCCACATATAATCCACACTGGACTTTGCGCAGCCTTTTCTCACCTCTGAGCTGACCAGAACTTCATGGGGCAAGACTGTTAATGGGCAAGATTATTAGCCCGTCTATGAGGTTCTGTGAGAATTCAAACAGCTATTGATGTTGGAGACTGGACTCAAGCCCAGGGTGTGAGACTGAGAGCCCCTATTCCTCCCACTCTTCCTCCCTCCCGCTAGAGGCATGGGACTAAAATGCAGGTTTGAGGGGGCAGCGAGAAGCAGACTTTGACCCACGCCCTCAGAGCCGGGGCCAGCCCCATGAAAGGCCTGGCTGTCTGAGTGAGACCACTCTGAGCTGTCCGAGGGAGCTGCCCCATCCCCAAGGGGTGGCTCCGCCTCTCAGAGACCAGGATGGCCTCCGGTGGATT